AGATGGTGGAGAGCTGGCAACACTGTGGAACGACAGTAGCCGCATACACGGACACGGCCTTGCTAGAAGGTCCCATCACCCGAAAATCTGCCGCCGTGGTTTTCCCTCACTTGGAGTTGGAAGCAGCCGAAGCCCTTCCACCTGGGGTGTCAACCAAGGGCGGGGAGCTAGCAGCCATTCGGCTCGCACTTGAGATCATCAGTGAGCACTTTGGCCCCCTTCCTGAGAATCTTCGAATATTTACAGATTCTCAGGAGGCACTCAAGGAGTGCCGCACCCACAACAGTCCCAGCATCCAGGTGCGGAAAATTAAGAAACTCGTCTCGGAACTTTGTTCGCGGAGAGGAGTCACGACAAGAATTGAATGGGTTCCAGGCCATGCTGGAATTCCCGGAAGCGAAACGGCTCACCATCTCGCCCGCGCGTCTCTTCTAGCTCCTCCCGGGCAACGAGACGATGAGCCGCCACATCCACGCATCGATCACCGGTACGACCGGACAACTCGCTCTGAGGAGCGGGCTCTGTCACCCGTCGACCGGGAAAATCAGGAGTATGACCCGGCTGAGGAGAGGGCGAGGATCAAAGAAGACATCAAAGCGAAATTAGAGGAGCGCCTATCCGAACCGGATCTTCCCGGACTCCCTTCTAAGGGTTTCGGTCGCAGAGGGCAAGTGCTGCTCACACGAGTAAGAACAGACGCCACCCTATCCCCGGCCCGCCTCGCCTTGTGGAGCAAGGGTAGAAGATCAGCTTTATGCTCCCACTGCGACATGCGAGTCAAAGCAGACATCCGACACTTGATCTGGGAATGTCCCAAATATAAAAACACAAGAGCAATATATAGACCCCAAGACGTTGATTCATTTGAAGGCTGGACTCACCCTCCTGGAAATGAAGACCGACAACGAAAGATTCTACGACGCCTACTGGACTTCGTCCATGAGGCCGAAGTAGACTCTTTCATCTAACCTGATTTTTATTAATATGCCAGCACCCAGACCTCGAATTCAGTCACCGGTGCCCTCCCCAATCCCACTCCCTGATTATTTTTTGGCTTATAAATCGCGTTCTAATCTAATCTAATCTAACAAGACTTTTTTTTTTTTTTTGGGGGGGGGGGGGGGGGGGCTTTTAACAGACCGCAGTCTGCACTGCTTGGAGGGTCTTAATTTATAAAATTAATGGACAGACGGATTAATAAATCGGTTTGCTGCTGCCCGTATGTAATTTTACGAGGATCCCAAGGGGGCTTGCAAGCGTCGCTTTTCATATACTGTTTTATTGTTATTACCTCTTTGGGGGATCTTTAGTTTTCACATTGCGCACTCCCCACTTGAAATTATAATGGGTGTTCAAGTAACAAGCAGCATCAATATCTATATTTTTTTTTACAGGTGTAATAAAAAGTGTTATTACGGCACTGAAAAAAAAAATATCTAGGGATAGTTATGCAACCCGTGTCCCAGAGAAGACCTTGCGGAGGCTGGACAAATGCCGCCATACATTTTGGCTTCCTTTAAAACATTAATTGTCTTTATCTTCGTTGCTTTTGCTATGCTCTCTATTTCTTAGTGATTTCGTTTTTGTTATTTTCTTCTGATCGATGCTTACGCTGAATGCACTTTCCCTTATGTAATGCCCTTAACTAAACCTCAAATGCACCATGAAAGAAAAAAAAAAAAGGGGGGGGGGGTGTTTCGATGGCTTCGTTTGCGACTTGAACCCGCTATTTGCTGCTTTCGGCGATCATTGTCTCGTTTGGTTCCCTTTTCTGATTCAGATGTGACGATACCGGATACAGTCTGGCAGACAAGCTGCCCGACCTCTTGGAGCTCGGGCAAACATTGGGCCGGTGAAGTGCTTGCCAGAGCCTAAAAAGCGCTACCCGAACAGCTTGCACTCGCCAGCCTTTGACCACGCGAACGCCGTTGCAGAAAATAGCAAAATATTTTGCCGGAAAACGACCACCTGAGTCCGCCATAAGAATGTGTTCCTATTCCACGGTTATGACACACGCCAATAGACCTTTCCAATGTTTACAAATCCACAGCTCAGCGTGCGATCTCTACAGCTCAGCACGCGCGTGTGCGTCGCTTCGGAAAGCGAGCAAATCACGCGCGATACGCACGAACACTGAAAATGGAACCGGCCAGCAGCCCTTTTCTGGAAAGGTCTATATCAGCCTGGGCGACTGTCTGTGCAGCTTGACTCTATTGGGCTCCCGACCTACGCACTTGGCGGTGTCGCTTCTTGTTTTCCCGGCATCGAGTTCAAAAATCGTTGCCAAAAATAGCTTAAACGGTGTCATTTTCTGGAAAAAAGACGATTACCAAAACGACGTAAAACGTAATTAGTGTAAAAAGAAAGTTACATATGCAATTTTTACTGCTATAAGTAAGAAATAACTTCGACGTGGGAATAAAGCAGTCCAGTAGCCCTAGAACAGCAAGTTAATATAGGTGAAATACTCTTGTGAGCAAAATATAGAGTAGTAATGGTCTCTTTCTAGCTAAAAATTCATATCATTTTTTTTTTTTTTTTTTTTTTTGAGTAAGTGTGTGCCACAATGGCAATATTTGTTTTGACGATATTAGGGGCTTGAGTGGACGTCTGCTTATGGAGACATTGTGTTTCTCTCTTTAATATCCAGGTATAATGTCATGCTCTCAAACTCTAACGTTCTATCACAAAAAAAAAAAAAAAAAAAAAAAAAGTCTCACGTTCTTACGGTGTTCCGGCTTTCTGCATCAGCAATTGATCTCCGCGCAAGCACCAAAAAAAAAAAAATGCACAATTCGTTTTTCTTTTTTTTTTTTTCAAACGAACGGTATTTTGTTAACTAAGTAACTGTCTTTCGCAGAATAAATAAAAAAATTAAACAGTTACACATTTTTTAAGCAAAATCTGGTGTATGGGTTTCTTCATAAAGAAAGTTGCCCTTGGGTGCAACTTCATAAAGAAAGTTGCTTTTGGGTGCTTGTGAGGTTTTTGTGAGGGGAGAGGAGGGGAAGTTGGGACTTTGTCAACCCTGTAAATTGTTTTAGTGGGACACCTAGTACTTTGCTGAGGCTGTTTCACTGCTGTCCCACTTGAAACACTTGAGTTTCGCACATTTCCAGGTCATGAAGGCATGATTGACCGCGGTGTGGTAACAGAAGGGCTACTCATAATTTTCTCTCTGCACTTGGTAGTCGATGACGATCGCAATAGACATTTCAAGCGTTTAAAGGAGAACTCCGCCGATTTTTTGGTCGACTTCGATTTGGCTGGAAATTTGCAGACCGCATCAATAACCCTTTCTCAATTGATAACCAAAATATTAAAAAGAATGAAGTTTTTCTGTGAAGTTATTGAATTTTCAAGTTACGCCGGCCGCGAGGGTTGCAGAAGGCGACTCTGTGCTGGCAAAAATGAAAAATCCTTACTTTTCCCTACCCGCGTATTCACGGATCTGCAGGCGGACGAGCGGCTCGGGCAGCCGCGAAGGAGCTTTCCGGACGCCAGCGATGGAGATAATTTTTTCGCAGCTTCAAGGTTGAAAGTTCCTTCGCAATGGGTAGCAATCTGTGCTCCGCAATAGATTGTAGAAACAGTGCCGGGAAAAAGCTTCTTTTTCTACCCTTGTTTTCGTGGGAGAAAAAAAAAAAAAAAAAAAAGCATTCCCCGGCAGTTATGGAGGCCAGCCACGTCAAGGTGCTTTGGCGCGAGCTGTGTGCCGAAAGAACTATACTTCGTTTCAGCTTCGGTCCGAGCGCGGCCGATGTTATGAGCCGAAGGGCCAATTAAACAGCGAAAGATGCACAACGTCATGGCGTGCTCGCTGCAGTTGATAGGACCAGCCGGTATTCGCCGTCTCTCTGTACGTGCTCCTCCGCCGGCTAGTCTTATCAAGCGCAGAGAGCACGCCATGACGCTGCGCTTTTTGCGGTGTTTGATTGGCCCTTCGGCTCATAACATCGGCCGCGCTCGGACCGAAGCTTTGGAAGGCGAGGAATGTACGCGCCACACGCACGAACGCTAAAAATGGCATCGACCAAAAGCGCTTTTTAGAAATGGTTTACAGATCTTTTGCTAAATTACTTTAGCACCAAGGAGCATATTCATGCCACAAGAGTAGTTACACGTGTTGACGCCTGCAACAGTAACTTTTGAAAAGAAAAGCTCAAACAAATGCCATGTTCCTTCAGGTCATACGAGCGTGTGGGGCATCTGTACCCACATTCCGAGCATTTTCCGTGGTGCTTTGGCAATTCGTAAAAAAATGTATTGCGTGGCGACCTTTTTTTGCCAGCCATCTTCTAATAAAAAGAGAACGGATTTACTAGCGATATCATGAAACTATCGAGCCGCGGCTTGAGGTAGCGAGTTGAAAAAGGGTTTTACAAAAATTCCAATTGCTCCCATTTTTTTTTTTTTTTTTTTTTACTTTCTTATAGTTATGCACGAAGGCCAAGGCCATACTTTGTGCAAATATATATAATTATCAACTTCAAACAGCACGAACGCCCAGGTTTTCTTGCTGTTAGACTCGAGAAAGGCGGGCGCGAGCGTACCCGATTGCCGGCCCCGCGCCTCGCTGAACACAAGTGACGTCACTCTTGGGCGGCGGGGAAAACTGGGGAAAAACTAAGGAGAACGATGTTTCGGTTTCGGCAGCAAACTAAATATAAATTATAATGCAATTAAATGCAAAGGGCAAGCGAGCTGGACAAGAATGACAACACACTGACAATGACTTTCAACAAAATATCACTTTTGTTTAATTAACTGGAGGGAATCTGGGAGAACGAGATATTATTTCGGAATCGGGAAGCTATCCGCATTCAGATTATGCCTTTGGATTAGGTAGCTCGAAAAGTCGGCGGAGTTCCCCTTTAACAGTTCTTATCAAAGAGAAAAAGCCAAAGTGACAATGCAAACCCAAAACATAATTTTGTTTTGTTTTGTTATTTTGATTATTTTTTGTTGCCTTGGCATTACGGCCCTCCAACCACCAGAAGGAAAGATAACAGGTTTTATTTATGTTACACAACGCTTGCTGCGATCAATAATTTCTTAGATTAGTGCAGGGTTGGGACGGTTGGGACCAACGGGTTTCTTCCGCAAAATCGTAACTCAGCAACAGTAGCAGACGAACCGTTTTCGTTTCTGCTTAATTCTGCACTGGCCCACCAGGGGGGGAAACTGCAATTTACGATTCGGAAAGCGCAGAGTGCGACTGTGAGTACGTTTTACCTTCAGAATTTACCCTAAATCATTTCGTTCGAATTGAAATTGACTACCGCTCTATCCCGAAGGTGAGCGTTGGCAAGGTGACCACAGAGGTGGCCGAATACCCTCAATCTTGGCAGCCGAACCGCCTTTAAGTGCTTAGGCCTAAAACGCTTCCTACTGCTCGCGTTTTCTGTCACCCAAGTTTTTTTTTGCGTCTCCCGCCGTGCAGTAACGATACGATTCAATCGCGAAAAAGCTTGTATTTTGCTGTTTATTCATAGCTCGTGGTTCTGGGCTTACGATAGCTTCTTAGCCTGTGCGTATAACTGCAAAAGATAGTGAGTATTTCATTTGTGGAAGTCGCGTTGAGTAATGAATGAGCTTGTTGCGGCATCGTGCTTCGTAAAGCTCAGTCGGCGCACAATCACCGCTTCTTGCGTCACAACGGCGTGACGGTGCACTCTTCTAGCCCAACAATGCTTGCGATATCGCAAACAACTGGGGGAAGGACACAAAAAAAAAGTAGAGCGAGCGAAGCTAAATTCTGCGTCCTGTTTCCGTTTGCAGTTGGATTCGTATAGCACGCGGAATGTTCCGCAGTGTTCGAAACTGAAACGAACGTTTCAAAGTCGATGTGCCGGTAGAAGCTGTGATGAGTGCCATAGAATAGGCTTCGCAGCCGATGTCTGTAGACGCACACACCCCTGAGAACCTTCACTGCGTTGCTCGAGGGCTTTACGCTTCTAAATAGTTGGAATCGGGCAAGGTCTGTTCGCTAGTTGTCATGGTAACCCAAACGGCCCTTGAAACCTTTTGATGGCCTCGTTTTTTCGCGGACAGGCCAAGGATAATGATAGCAATGAGCACTTAACAACACTACTGACTCGTACAATTTGTCTCCCTTTTCAATGGCGTTGTCGTAGTGTGTTATCTCGAAGCGTGAAGTAGAGGGGGCGACTTTTAACGTGCGTTATGCTGTGGCACCCACTCTTCGTGCTGTTGAACTGCGTGTTCATTGCCTCGAGCCACCGTAGGATGTATTGAGACACCTCTTTTGCTGTGTGTGATGATTTCACAAGTGGTTACCAGATTTGTTACTGCCACTTTTTACGACTAGTTGCTTTATCCACTGCTGATGGTGGGGTACACCTGCTATTATCATATTCATGCCTTTACTTTTAACTCGTATGTTGAGCTGGGGGGGGAGCTAAAGGTCGATTCACACGATGCATCTTGTTGATGAATCTTGTTGCGAAACGAGGTTTCGAGAAACAGATTTCCTATCTGAACGCAACCGAAAAAAGTGGCACGTGTTCCTTGCTTCTGGAGCAATTTTTTGCTGAAACCTCACCGAGGTGTGTCGATCACCTGAAGGAGAAATGCAGATGCTGCCAATGGTCGCTCGACTTCGCTATGACGTCTGTCCTTCGAGGCAGAGCAAGCTTTTCGGGGAGTCCGATTTATGGCCGATTCCATATCCGAGCCAAAACCAAAAAAAGCAAAACAAACATGGCGAGCGGAGAAGTGGTGTGTACGGGTTCCACTGGGTTGAAAGTGTGTGAACGTCGCATTAGCAGTACGGGTTGGTGGCGCGGTGCAGATTCATCAACAGCCGCGACGAGTGCAAGCACCACATATAAACATAACTGGGAATAGCTTCTTTTTGCGGTGCAAAAATGTCGGAAATGCTTCAAGATCATCCGTCTGTTCTTTGACGTTCGCGATCTTTCCCGGGTTTTGCGCGACCAGTGAACCAAATATGACGAAGTTTATTGAGTGGTATTAATAAAACAGACTCTTCATACTGTGCATACTTTATATCATTTCAATGTGAAACGCTTGATATTTCCGGTGCACATGAAAAGGTTTGGCGAAATTCTTGTGAGTCGATATGTAACGGGTTTCGCGCGTCGAACTCCATCCGTGACCAGGCAGATTCTCGGTTTCGCTAAACTATGGCGCGTCGAAAAGATGCATTGTGTGAATAAGCCTTAAGACAAAATGTCACAAACACCTAAACTTCGTTTTGACAAATTAAAAAAAAAAAAAAAAAGGAAGGTTGTGCCGATATTAGATTGGGAGAACCTACCATGTTTCGAAGCTGTCCTGCAAGTTCTTTTTTTAGCAGGTCTGAAAATATGTCCCTCTCTCCCCCTGCATTTGTCAACAGGAGGGCAAAGGAAGGAGCTGCCCTTTTTTGTATTTGCTGTCATCTTTAGCTTTGGTGTCCGTAGTATTTGGAGCCGGTGAAGAAAGCACAGCAGTCGATGCTAGCTGAGTAGCTCTTCTTCCCCGAAGCCCCAGGGCTTATGGTGCAGTCTCGCCATACTTTTTGTGCAGACTATACTCCATTCATTCTTTTTCGTGTGGCCGATCGAAAGTCTCCCTAACTTCGTAACCTCTCAGCAGCCGAGAGGGTACCTCCCACAGTATGAAAACCCTCGGTTTAGGGGGCATCCACAGACCTGCCACTCTGGACAAGCTAAACGAGTACCACCAATTCGTCTTGGCCCGATGGCTCGTAGCGTCTGTGACAGACACTACAAGCCATACACGCCAATCCAGTGTCGGAGGCTTAACACACCCCCTCGCAGTTTGGCGCCATCTATGAGGTGACCCTGGAACTGCATTACACTAAAGCGAAGGTTTTGCGGTATTTGCGAGGTCAAACGTATGTACTATCTACAAAAAAAAGGTAGTTTATAACGAAAATAGCGAGTGTTTCCCGGCTACCAAGTGAGCCCTTTGTTGAGGGTTCACAAGGGATCATGACGCACACGGTTGTTGGCATTCGCGATAGTATGAGTGAGCTTTGACTTCCCGGCGAACCCCGCCGGGGATTTCGGGACTGCCTTTCCACGTGTTCCGATTAACCAACGGCGTCTTCACCGCTTTGCCCGCGTGCAGTTCCCCGGCGGCACCAGGCGTCGGGTTGCATGGCGGAAGACAAGCAGCTGGAGGAAGGGGGCGGGGGCGGGGCCTACGGGGGCTGCGAGGGCCCCGAGGCTATGTACGTCAAGCTGATCTCCTCGGACGGACACGAGTTCATCATCAAGCGCAACCATGCCCTCACCTCCGGCACCATTAAGGCCATGCTGTCAGGACCCGGTGAGTGTGTGCCCGGATTCGAGCTCTGTCGACTGCTCAATCGAGTTTGCGCGGTTCGTGACCCGCGTTTGTGGCACAGGCTGTGAGGTGGAAGAGGCGGAAGCTTCGATCGCCTGCAAGCGTCTTTGAGCTTTGCTCGGTTTCTACGCTGTCCTCCTCACCGCTCGAAAATGCATGTGTGCACTCTTGGAATCAATTTGTGGTTTCTACGCTGTCCTCCTCACCGCTCGAAAATGCATGTGTGCACTCTTGGAATCAATTTGTGTTAGGATTGATGCTTGAGCCCTCTAGCTTGAATGCACCCGAGGTACGAACGCGGAGGAAAGAACAAACGTGCCGTCCGTGCTATACTCCTCGGTTTAGACAATCTGCGCTGGAGGTGTCTGCCACTAAATTGTGAATGCGCTTCATGTTTTATTTGCTCCCTCTAAAATCCAGGCTCCCTGGACGTGATGAGGGCTTTCCGGCCTCCCTTGCCGTAAGGGCTAAGGTGGACTTGGGACGAAGGAATGTGTCGCGGTGTTGGGATGCGTTTTTAAGGGCAAAAAGGGTCTCGTGCGATTGTAATTTTGGCTTTGATAGGATCTTTAGGTTGCATGGATTGAGTTTGCACCATAAGAATACAATCTGAAAATCCACCTTAGGGCCCCTTTAAATGCAAAATTTTAATTTTTCAAGACCTTGTCTTGAGTCATTGCAGTCCCAAAAAAATCCTTAAAAAAACACTAAGCTTCCAAAAAAAAAAAAATTTTTTTTTTTTTTAAGTGCTTAGACAGCAGTGTTGCAGAGTTGCCACTCCGGATTTGGAATAATTCCAGGATCATTCGGCCCTTCAGCGACCCTGAATAGAATGGAATAAGAAAATATCCTAAAAGTGCAGACGAGCTGATGAATATTACCACATTAAATTAACCTGAGAGACTGGGACCCCAGTCCCAGGTTAATCCAACATGGAGAATAGAATGGCTGCAGCACTGGGAGGAGTGAAGTGAGAGCAGAATTGGGTGCATTTTGGCCTGGAATCGAGTGGGAATGGAATGGGCTCTTTTCTTGTGCGAGCTGCGTCGATGTGATCAAAGGGGCTTTTGAAACAGCATCATTGCTCCTTAGGTAACTGACGGCTTGGTTATCTGTAAAAATGCTTGTTCTTGGGCTAGTTGGTGATGAAAGTTTTGAACCATGGTTAAAGCGATAAAAAGACAACACAGGAGAGAAGACAGACACTGGTGCTCGTGTTTGTCTTCTTTCTTTTGTTCGTCTTTTTAGCGGTTCAAAACATTGATTATCTGACCGGCTCATGTTCCTTCAAGGATGGAGGTAGCACCCCAGTGAAACAACCAAAGGTGTAGGCGGTTGTAGGCGCCGCGAGACGCGACAATGTGCGATTACAACACCAGTCGTAGGCCACAAGGCAGGGATACTGTCACACCGCCCGCGTTTCCTTGATGTGCGGCTCCTTACTTGCCATGTATCTCCTAGAAGTGGAGGATATATACCAGGGGTGGCTAAGCTGTGGTTTGCGAGCCGCATGCGGCTCTTTGCGTGTTAAAGTGCGGCTCGCGGCTCCCTCCCTACCCCGCTTTCCCCGCCTCCCTCCTAGTCCCACGAGCACTACCCCAAAAAGAGAAATGAAACACGTTTGGAATCGAAAGACAGGTTGCGATTTGGTTGTCTTGTGCTACTACTGCCTTACGCACAGTTGAACTGCTTTTGACTTGGATAGATTGAAAGTAGTTCGAGTTTCGTTTATTGCTGTGAGCAAAATCCCCCCCCCCCCCCCCCGCGGCTCTTGGAAGTTTCGTGGTTTTGTTTGCGGCTCTTAGGCCGGGTCAGCCTGGCCACCCCTGTATATACGGTCCTTTTGTGAAGAAAATGGGTGGTATGAAGTTTAGCCGTCTTTTATGAGGCTTTATGCTTGGTCATGCGATCGATAGCTGCAGTGCGACCATACCTCCAACAGCATTATGTGCAACCACCACTGGGCTTAGTAGAATCAATGCTTTCGGTTCGGAACATGTTTTGCACATTTTTGCAGTTGTCTATGCGTTTGACAATGCCTGCCTTATGCTGACGTTATTTGCGGGTGTCTTAATGTAGCTGTCAAGCGCCATTTTTCACAGTTGGGAATTCGAGGAATGAAATGGAACGGTTCAGCCATTCCAGGATAGGGAATGGGTCAAGTGTTTGTATTCCTAGGGCTCTAAAGGAATGGAATTGTCGAAAAATCTAATTCTCCTGAATGGGAGGGGGGTGCTCATTCCACAGCACTGCTGGATGGTAGCCATACACCAAAAAATAAAAGTTTGCCCCCCCAAAAGAACATAATTTCTTGTCGCACTTTTGAATACACTGCACCCCCTTCGAACTTGAAAAAAAAAATAAAAGTTGGTATATAAGTTGCACTCATATATTCTCTGGCCGGTGCAGCAAACTGGATTGAAATGCCCTCATATACATATTACGATTGTAATGGATACGCGAGCAATAGTAGGTTTCAATGTTCTCGTCAACAAATTGAACGAGAAATGTTACTCCCTCGCCGAATTTCTGCAGTTAAAGTTTGTACTTACGGAAAAGAATGCATATAAGTTATATAAGTCATATGCATATAAGAACTGACAGAGAGGAGGAGATGCGAGTGCCCGGAAACGTCGGAGTGGCAAACCATTGTTGGAATAAAGTGACGCAGGGCTAGCTGCTCTTCATGTCTACTCGCTGTTCAAAGCATTTGAACACTGCAAGCCAGCCTTCCGCTTTCGCGTTTGAGCGGGGACAAAGGCGGCTAACTTTGCGGCTACCCACTAATCATTCCAACCAGAGCTCGACGCACCGATGTCTCCGTGTGCACCTCATCTCCTTCACTCCCTCAGTTTTTATCTGAATATACACACTGATGCAACGCGCGTCGTAGGCGTCGGGCTTTTGTGGTCGTGATGCGGAGTGGTGAGACCCTGCTTTCCTTTTTTCTTTGCAGGCCAGTTCGCAGAAAACGAAACTAACGAAGTGAACTTCAGGGAGATTCCGTGAGTACTTGCGGAAGGCGCACCCTGTGGGGTATTCGTCGCTCAGAACCGAGCCCGGTTTTGGTTCGTCGGGTCCCCCTTTAGGTGGAGATCTGGGTTGGAGGGCGCTCCCTAACTTCCTTCTTTCTCTCTGCGGTGGCCAAAAGAGGGGGAGAGGCTTCTTAGTGCGATCTCAGCTGGGTGCATTCGAGGTCGCCAGATTCTAGGAAACAAGTCAGCGGCACTCGTTTCCTAGAATCTGCGAGATGTGCGCTCGAACTAGTCGTTAAAAATTGGTTGCTTGTGCAACATGGCCGGCCCATGGTCACCAGCAGAGTGAAAACTGGCAGGGCACGTCTTTCGAACGCCCAGACTCCAGCGCGTGCTCCATGCCTTCCACCATGCTTTGGCTGTGTGCGTGCACTCGAGGTGCGTCGGATATGGAAGCTTTGTCAGACGTTGGGAGCTTGCGCTGGAGGTAAGGTGACTGAAGCTCTTCCCTGCTGATCCCGCTATATCATTGACTGTAGCTTTGTTTTTGATACCTGTGCAAACACCAATAAAAATGCCAAATAAGAAAAAGAAATTTTTTTTTTTACTTGATGTTTGCTGGAGTTTTTTTTTTTTAATTTTTATAATGGCACATTATTACCGCTCCCGTCGATAGTTTCCGACCTTGTTTTGCCTTCCTTCAGACTAGTCGCCAAAGTTTTGACTGAATGACTCGGGGGAAACCATGAGAAGCATGAATGTGATCTACCTTGCTCGTTTTTGGCACCATCGTTCGAGAAATGTGAGGCAGCCATTTTCAAAACTGGCAGCCCATCTGTGGTTTGCAATACTTTTTTAAATGGTTGGCATTAGCGGTGTGATACATATGGCTCGAGCACACGCTGGAGTACAGTGGGCTCTCAATAATTCAAACTTACGTTTCATACTCCTGGTTAATTCGTACAAATTTTTAAATTTTACTTGTCGTGATATGCTTTTAATACATTTATTCTGTTCCCGTGGCCCTGTTGAGCACGCTCCTTATTGTACACCAGTGAAGCAACACTTGTATGGCATACCTTATTGTACACCAGAGAAGCAACACTTGTATGCCATAAATAAATTTATGCCATACATTCCCCAAATGTTTCATGTGTGCATACCTGCTTATGATTACAGTATAGACCACTTACAACGTAACCACTTATAGTGCAGGACCGGGTATAACGCGGCTTTTTTAAACCACCGGTTCGCCTCCCATAGAACTCCATAATTACATACCGCTTAAAATGCAAGCGCGCGAAGGGAAATACCGGTTATAGTGCGGTTTCTGGAACAGCCCACCGACTGACCGGCACAGCGAGCACGCTTCCCTGTGCGACACTAGATAACGGCGCTAGCCGCAAGCGGCACTTGCGGGACAAGGAGGTTGCTCGAAAAAGTGGGGAGAAGCGAAGAGAGGCTTCAGTTGCCATAGCGACGGAGGGACGCACGCATGTGTCGTTCACGTGCGTGCTACCCTTTGCTGCGTCGGAAACAACCGCAACGACAAACCAATCGCAGGTTGAAGATAAGTGTTCGCGCGTTGCATGCCGATCGCGGGCTGGCTTCTTCTATCGGCAAACATGGCGTCGGTTGTGATCGTCGACGTAGACGGCGTGGTGGAAGCTCATCATTCCGCGTAAAAGCGCTATCCTTGACTGTGAATTTCCGTCGTGTGTCGCTATGATAACCCAGCACGTACTAGAAGGGAAGATCCACCTACTCGTGCGGCGATGTCGTGGCGGCACTCTCAAGACTGCAGAAACGCCCGTGTCGTCGTGCTTGTTTACTTCGACTACAGTGGTGCTTTCTAAGCATTTGTGTTTTCGAACATCACCCGGATTTCTTGTTTGGAGCATTTCATGCCTGTGCTAAAGTTGAAGGTATTACTGGCGCGTATCGTATAAAGGATGCGAATTTTCACGCGTTTTCATCACCGGAGAAAAGTGACTAGGGTTAGCAATCCTGAACGCTCGCAACGTCCGTCCGCAACCCAAAACGCCGTTAAAAGGCTGCGCCAGGCGAAAGTCGCTCATTTCTTTCAAAATGAGTGACACACTTGAGAGAGAAGTGTGCTAGTCTAGTGAAATAAAGACTTTCCTTAAACTAAGCTTTATTTTTCATTTAACATAAAATAAATTATTTTAAGTTGTCTCGTGGCATGTATTTTGGCCTGAAAAATTGATGTTTTGGTTATGACGCAATACCGCTTATAGTGCGGATTTTCGCGACTCCCGCGACATACGTTATATGCGGTCTACACTGTAGTAGGCCTGTGTCAGGGAAATCATAAAAGTTCTTTGTATGTACAGCCATCCGTATAATTAATCATAATCCCAGCCGGCCGCTGCATCAGAGCCACATAACATAATAGACCAACTAAACATAAGAAGGTATGCCACACATGAAACATTTGTGAAATGTAAAGAATAAATTTATTTACCCCTCTAAGAGTGTTGTGTACCGTGGACTATCTAGACAGCACATGGCAGCTCAAAAAAAAAAACTTAGTCGGGACACGATGTTGTCTAATGTGGACTATTGAATAGAGGACACACCAGCGATGAAAACGGGCACTGCATGGCAGTTTTAATAGCAACTTGCGCGGATGCTGTGACAGGGACCTATGCCACGTCGCAGCGTCCGTGCAAGTTGCTATGGAAATTTTCGCATGGCACCCGTTTCCATAGCCCATGTGTGCCTGCTTGAGCCAAGTTGAGTGCGCTTCTCACCTAGCACCGGTGCACTGCGGAGAAGGAACACCTGCGGAAGCAGGCTCCGCGAGTATTGTCTCTCTGCAGCGCACCGGTGCTCAGAGAGAAGTGCACTCAACGGGACCGCCAGAACAAAGAGGGTGGATCTCACGAAGATGCCATTCGCTGTTTGAATGAACCATAAGTATGAAACATTAGAGTTTGAATTATCGCGAGCCTACTGTCGTCCGCACTGAGCCGCTAAAGGCACGACAGCCGGGTCTGCTCCCCAATAGGACGCCGGACACACCGGTCGGGTGCGATTGATGCACCGTAGTTGCCATTCGTGCAGCCGGGACTCTCGGCGTGCGCGGAAGCGGCCGACCAACGGCGTGCCTCCTCTTGCAGGTCCCACGTCCTTCAGAAGGTGTGCCAGTACTTCACGTACAAGGTGCGCTACACCAACAGCTCGACGGAGATCCCGGAGTTCCCCATCGCGCCGGAGATCGCGCTCGAGCTCCTCATGGCCGCAAACTTCCTCGACTGCTGACTTCCCTTGCCCGCACGCACCTCCTCCCTCTTTTCCTCCTCCTACAAGCTCCGCCCTCCTCACCCTCGAACCGACCCGTACCATTGTTGTCCGACTCCCGAGTCGTGCAAAACGCCGCCGCGGAGTTACTCTTTTGTCCGGACTTCCTCGCTCGAGCAATTGGAAATTTTGTTTTAACCAAAAGCCAAACATTTTCTTTAGTGGCAAGCCTAAGCGGAAGCGGTCGGCTCTAAGTTTGGTGCTCACTTAAACCCTTATTTTTTTTTTTTTTTTTTTTTTTTCTGTGTGCGAGGTTTGTTGACATTTCTTTTACGGTAGTTATGCAAGAAAGGAGGCCCATGGGCCGGAAGACGCGTCGGCGGAGTTGTCGCTGAAAGTCGACCTTGCTTCCTTTTTCTTTTTCTGTCGGCGGCGGAAGGAAGGGAAGAGATATTTGACACATGTACATAAGAGTAAAAGGTTGTTTTTTATTATTATTATTTTTAAAGCGGGGGGAAATGGGGAAAGGCCATTGGGATGCGGGAAATTCAAAAGTGAATTAATGTCTGGGTTGTTTGATGATTTTTTTTTCCTCTGAATGTCCCCTTTTCTTTGATGGTTGGCAGCGTAGCCACTATGGCAGAAAGTGATAATAAAAATTGTTCTCAGTAAAAAGAAACCGACAGTCTTTGTCAGTCCTCCGAAGTAGTGTTTGGGTGTTGTAAATTTCTGTGCCATTTTGCTCTTTGGGACAAGTGGTGTGGTGTTCCAATTGTGCAATCTCTAGTCTCTGTGCCCACCAGAGTTAGGTGAGTGTAGGTGGTAGAAAACTTGGGAATTGAGCACTAGCTTGCAATTATGGGGGAGGTAAAATCTGAGTGTAAACAAGCGTAGACATCAACTAGACCAGATGAATGGGTAAACCCACCCGCTTGCACTTTAGCACCCAGGGTATTTGAAAACCAGACCCATTCTGCCAAGCCATGGCTGCACATAGTTCTTTGTCTGCACAGTTTTGTACGATAGAACCGACCTGTCAAGACTGGCGAATAGGGAAAGGGTCAGAGTCGATAATTGAACCTTGTTTATAAACTCAACTGCATGGTTTCAGCCTTCAATGTGCAACTGCACTAATGTAATTTTACTTTTTTTTTTTTTTTTTCGAGGCTATCAACTGTTGGGAACAACTAAAGGGGCGGTGCAAAGATTTTCAAACTTTGGCCAATTAATTGTGGGGATTCGTGCCGCCTATGGAACGAAGAACGGAAAACTATATTTTCTTGCGCGCACTGGTTTTGATTTTAATACATAAATGAAACTATTTATCAAAGGTCAAAGTGTCCCTCAACCCTCATCGTCGTCGTTTTGAGTGACATACTCTGGGGGGTCACCTGGTTTGCCATTGGGTTCTTTCTTCAGAGACACCTGCCGCTTCCTCCGTGACTATTGACTTTTCTACGATTCGCACCGTTGAAGCTTGCGGTGAGCGATAGACACAAAAGACCTATCACCACGGGGCTGATGGAGAGTGTAGCAGCGGAGGAAGACGGGCTTTGTTGACTTACGTTTATCCCCCAAAAGACGTTGCCACCGTAGTTCTTGTAACCGCCACATGTGGCTGCAGATTGGCAAGTAATTAATTTTTGTTCTTTGCGATTATACAGCGGAATAGCAGTTGTACGGGGCAAGATGATGCGTGCTTGGTCACTTGTGATATAAAAATTACAAACTGCAAGTTCTTTCAACATTAAAATTGTTGCACTACCCCTTTAATGTCAAAATTGAGCGCTTATCCAACTGTTTAAAAAATGGTTATTTTTAACCGGTTTTATTGCCAATGCTTTTAGTAGACCTCGCTTAGTTTGAACCTGTATTTTCTCATATTATTGTAGAATAGAAGCAAACATTGTTTTTACAACACCGCAAGTTCCAAACTAGAAAATAGAGGTTTAAATCTTCATGTTCTACTTTGCCACAACTGTGTATCGGTTGTTAAATGTAAAGTTTTGCACTTAACACCAAACCTTCCCCATCGAAGTTCAATAAGTGACAACTTCTCAATAGACCTTATTAGAGTAACTGTATAGGCTCTGCTTGCAGAGCCAGAGTATCGCTTTCCTTTTCCCTGCACCGCCAACTGCGTATTGGCGGAGAAGCGATATAATCGCATTGTTTTATAATGCGAGCTATGTTTTAAAACACGTTTTCAAAATCTGGGAAGCAGACATGGAAGACGAATGCATCTGCGGCGCTCTCCGAGTGATATGCAACCGGCACATCCAGGCACTTCAAACCAGACAACAATGCGTAGCTATAGCTTTCAGAGACGACGTTTTCGTCGGTTACTATGTTCTACCGATGGCATAGAGAAAAAGAGGAGACAATTGGCAAGACAACGGTGCACGCACAGCGTGTCACTGCACTATATCTTCTCTGCTCCGCTCGCCTCGGCACGCCCCCTCCGGAACTCCTGAAGAAGCGACAGTCGCTTCCCACAGTGCGGCCTTGGATCCAACATGGCCACCCTGGGAGCTCGATTGCGATACTCTGCTCTGCAAGTGGAGCATATGCACTCACCCTACACCTTATTAGAGTAACTGTACATGCTTCACCTTGCGGAGCAGAGTACCGCAATGGTGCTTCCAAGGGGGCCATGTTGGACCCAAGGCCACACTGGGGGAAGCAACCGTCGCTTCAGCAAGACTGGATGCGAGGGCTACGCTATCGTCCTTCGTGTCTTCTTCCCAGACTTCTAAACATGTTTTAATACATCGCTTGTGTTGTTAAAAAACGCAATTATACTGTGCCCAGTGGCTACACATTATGTTGAATGGTCAAGGAACCTTCCAGTTCGTTCTATTTTAGCGTAGCATGTATATTCCGCAAACGCAAACCAAGAAACATAATTCGCCCAAGACTCGACGCCTGCAAGGTCGCTTTCCCGCACGAAGGTCGCATCCAGTTCGGCGCAAGTGACCGCTTCTCTGCCAATACGGAGTTGGTGGCGTAAGGAAAAGGAATGGCAATACTTGGGCTCTGCAAGCAGAGTCTATACAGTTACTCTAGACCGTATTAGAGCCCCTCTATTCTGGAAAAAGTGGTGCCATTCATTGTTGTAGAAATGCTCAAGACATGTGTCGCGCGCCATTTCTGGGAAGAACATGGCGTCTGAAATCTAGCTCAGTGCTGCGCTGTGCCGCCATGATCTTCCCAAGGTCTGCACGTGCATCGATACACCTTGTGCTACTTTTAAAACATCAAGGGACTTTAGACCGTATTCGCTATTAGCGCCATCTCTCGGCGGCCTCGCAAACTATCGAGCCTCTGTGTTATCTTTGAGGCTTCTCCACCGTCCCCACGGTGCCTGCATTGCGTTCTTTGAGCTAGTTTTTAAGACGTGTTTCGGGGATGTGGTGGAGGCGTTGGGTACTTTGAAGTTAATTACATTAGCAGGCCTGGTTCGGAAAGTTTCGTTGGTTACGTTCAGAATGACCGAAACGACACCAAGAATATAGTCGCCAGGAAAACTGTTTACCACACGCAGTGCGACAAGCAATGCAAGTAACTTTGGGAAAGAATCGCGAGCCGCAGTTGTCTTGGTGCGTGAAGTTGTGGATGCAGCTGGCGCAAAATTATGAAGCAGCCTTAACCAGCTATTAATACAGCAGTGGGGAGCTTCATGTATAGAGAATTTGACAGAGCCTGCAAGGTGGCGTGGGCACAACCATTTTGACACTCTGACAATCCCAGTATTCGCTGTAAAAACCTAAGATTAAAGAAAAAGACACGATCCACAGATTAATTTTAGTTGGTAAAACGACAAATGCGATGCTGTGCAAGGTTTGGATGCCTACTAGTGATGCAAAACTATCGATAAATTGACTATCGATAATTTTTCCAGAACTATCGATAGTCGACTATCGATAGTTTTTCGATAGTCGACTATCGATAGTTTTTCGATAGTCGACTATCGATAGTTTTTTGATAGTCGACTATCGATAGTACTATCGATAGTTTTTCGATAGTCGACTATCGATAGTTTTTCGATAGTCGACTATCGATGGTTTTTACTATACTGGCGACTAACGATACTATCGCTAGTGCTATCGATAGTCTTGCACCACTATAGTCCGTTACAACTCAAGAAGATAAGTCGAGGGTAAGATGGGCCGGGGAGGAGGAAGCAGACGGAACGCTAAAGAGAGAAGGAGGTTTCCCCCTCTCTTCTCCAGCGGTTCGTCTGCTTCCTCCTCCCCGGCCCGTCTTGCCCTCACCCTACCGCTCGCCTCCGCCTTCTTCTTTTTTTGCCCAAACCCCCATCTTCGTCATCACTGAAAGCTGAACCAAAGTTGGGATGGTAAGTGCCTGGGCTAGTTGGTGCCCCGTTTGAAAAAAAAATTAAAGCGATAAATAGACAAGAGGGAGCGACGCAAACTACTAGTGTCGCAAAACTATCCATAGCAAACTGTATACAGTACTATTGATAGGTTTACGATAGTCGACTATCGATAGTTTTCAGATAGTGGATTAACGATAGTTTTCTGATAGTCGACTATCGATAGTTTTTCGATAGTCGACTATCAGTACTATCGATAGTTTTTCGATAGTCGACTATCGATAGTTTTTCGATAGTGGACTATCGATAGTACTATCGATAGTTTTTAGACAGTCGACTATCGATAGTTTTTTTCACTATCGATAGTCAGATTTCTGGCGACTATCGATAGTACTATCGATAGTTTTGCACCACTAATGCCTACCCCAATGCCATCCGTTGGTTCAAGGTCACGCTAAACAAGGCTCCTTTGCAGTTTTTCCATGGAAAGGAAAGCAACTGATTATTGGTATGCAGCTTGATTGAGATCTTCCACAAAAATATCTCACAAAGTGCAGTATTGTGCCTTATGCAATTTACTATCGCTGTCATTTAGGAGCATATCTATAGTCTCTCGTAGGTTAAAAGCAAAAAACCCCGTCAGCTCCACTCCAGCATTCGCTCTGCTAAAGTGGAAAGAATGAAGGGCTTTGCAGGAGGAACTTCTGCAATCTTAACCTATTGCCGACTATACACAATTTCAACGTTCACAGATCCACAGCACAACCGTGCGAGTTTGTCACTTCGCAATTTGTCCGTCGTGCACACAAAAACTGAAAATGGCATTGGCCAGAAGCCCTCTTTAGGGAAGGGCTATAGTGCCAATATTGCTGCTGCACTGTAGGTCTTGCACAGCACTGAAAGGTCAAGTACAGCAGGGACTGTATGAGACTGCAAGGGTGAATGCAAACTGGAGCTTTATTGGAAATACAAAACGTGGTAGGAACTTTCTGGAAGCAAACCGCGATGGTCAACTTGTGGCGCTGCTTAGCGACGGCCTATGGCCGCGTTGGCCAGACGGTCAGCCGCCTCATTGCCAGGAACGCCACTGTGAGCTGGCACCCGGTCCTGAAACGTAAAAATGCCCTGCCCATCAGTTGGGAACACCACATCATATTGGCCTTGTACATCTTGCAACTTGTGCATGAATGCATGCCATTTGCAGCTTGTGGGTGCCATCGTCTTGATACAGGTGTGTGTAGACTGCCTAAAGCGGAGCGCAAGGCCGCACGGATTGTGGCGACGTCGAAACGCCAAGCTCAGATTGAAGGACAGTGAGTAGATCTACCCACAATGACGTCTTCCTACTGTCCTTAGATCAAAGCCAATCAGAGCTCGACGTTTCGACGTCACCACAACCCCAAGGAAGCAGACAAACTTGCGCTCCAAACAGTCTCACTATACTTGGTTGCAAGTTAAGAAAAGCTGGGCAAGTTCCATGCACAAAGCCCTCCACTCTTTCCACTGTAACAGAGCGACCACCGCAGAGGAGAGTCCACTGGCCACTTCAGAGTGGAGGGCCTTGTGGGCACAGCTTGTCCTGCCTTTCTTAACCTGCAACTGTGTAATACACGTCTAGATTTGCCACCAACCACACTAGTGCCCTGCAAAGCTTTTCCCACCCATGATGTCCAGATTGGCTTTCAAAGCACGGCTGCTTTCGAATGTGTACAGCAAATGAAGTTGCAACAAGGTATAGTGAATGAAGCCTCGAACTCATTATTTTCCTGCGTCGTACGGATGCAGACTTCCGCGTAAATCCGAGTTCTGGGAAATGCAGTCTGCAACTCGTGCTTATAGGCAGCTTGGGGAAACGAGCTGGACCATGCTGATAAAGACTGGTAAGCACACAATGTGCAATAGGCCTTCTAGGGAAGAAACGGTACACCCTAGCGAAGATTCATTTTTATCTCCGACACGCGATGCAAGATGGAGATGGTTCTACAATACTGAAAAGGCAGTGAAGTGCGCAAGTTCATTCACGTGCTACGCGAATGAGCTAGCTCTTTGCATAATCCGAACCACCGAGCCTGGATAGCTCGGTCGGCAAAGCACTTTGCTCACAATTTCACGGTGGCGAGTTCAAATCCTGCAGGGAAACCTTTTATGTGGTTCCCTATGAGCACAACACTTTTTGGTGTCGTTACAAACGAGCTTTACAGAACTCCATAAAAATCGGCTGACAAAACATACTCTGCATTAAAAGTGAGTACAGATCAGCAAAACTTTGCGGGGAACGGGAGCATGAGCTGAAATGACTGGCTGCACCTTCTGATGGTGTGTTGCCACTCTCAAGACCCTCTTTGCACATGCTCTTCCTTTTGTGTTCGCAGTCTTTTTTTTCCACTCACTTTTGTCCAAAAATGTGCACGATAGCAGGGACTGCCACAAGGTGCCGAGAGATATTACCTGAAGCATGCAAGTTCCGTCACCCATCACAGTGGCCGAGGCAGACGCGCGGCAGGATGGCCGACAAAGCGGCACCTTGCGCAGATCCCAGTTACCTCGCCACGTCGGACGGAAGCACGAGTAAAAAAGACAACTGTGAGTTCGAAAGGAAGCGCATTCAAGAAGCATGAATGTTGGGAGTGTCCACGCGCCATTGGAAGGCGCAGCTAGTCATTTCGGCTAGTGCTCCTGTGCCCCGCAAACTTTTGCTGCCGACTGCACATCTATAGAGCCATCAGGCAATGAAACAGTTCTCAATTCAAGCAACTCCAAACATCAGCTACCAAGCAAAAGTTTGAACATTCAAGCACAGCATGCTAACATGCTTTCAAAGATAAAAGAAAAGCGTTTTGTCCAGTCTTCAGTCTACATGTTGCTTTCCTTTTGTCCCGGTAACTTACCGGCGCACTCCAATTTGTTGAGTTTATCTGTTCTTTCTCAGTCGACCTACAGCAGTTTACATTATTTGGCAACACATGCCATACTTTTCATTGTAAATTTAAGGTGCTGCATGAGCGCGACAGCTTTAACTGGGCTCAAGCTACGTTAAATAATTGTGCAGTGTCTTAATTTGAGATGGAAGCCAAAGTCCGAGATCTAAACTTGCATTTCTAACCAAACCGCACCCCCCGAGTTGCCTCACGGTTTCGCTTGTGGTGCACACTCTTCCGTTTGTCTCTTTAAAGAACACATGCAAAGGAAAAAAACATTTTTTTTTAAAACAGCTTAAATGAAAAAAGGATGTCAGAAACCGATTTTACAACAAAGAAAAATTTTTTTTAGAGCTATACATGATGAAAAACAGCCTCAGAAAAACAGGGACGAAGAACGAGTAAAGACAGGATAACGGCTAAGTGCACAAAGAAGCACAAAACACCGTTTGTGACTTGCACAACGGGTGTCGTCTACCGAATACCCCTATCTTGAGCTATATCTACGGCGCTATACAAATTTGTAGTTGGCGCCCGCGGGCGCCGTGGAAAAGTGGCCCTTATTTGTCACGTGGTGCTTGCGCTCTTTCGGAAGCTTCTTATGGCCTCTAAAAGTAACTTATTAATCTTAGTTTGAAGTATAAGAAAATACTAAGAATAATAAGTAACTTTTAGAGCCCAAAGGAAACTCCTGAAAAAGTGCAAGCATACGTGATAGACCTGTGCGCCGGTCAGATGACGGCGGCGGCGCCCCGAAGCAGTCAAACTTGTGTGGCGGCGACGGCGTGGAGAAACGCGTTGAAGTGGCGTCGCACAACGCTCAGTTTGCGGCGGCGGCGCGTGGGCCTACCACGTGACCAGTGGCGGCTCCCACGGGTGCCAACTACAAATTAGTTTTGCGCCGTAAATATAGCTCTAACTTTTTTTTTTCTTTGTTGTAAATTTGTTTTATAATATTCTTTTTCCATCTAGCCTGTTTAAAAAAAAGTTTTTTCCCTTTGCATGTGTCTTTTAAAGGGGCACTGACACCCCAAAGGTCATATTTCTTTTTCCTGTCTAAAACAATGCAAGTTGTAGTCATAGACGTGCAAAAAAATACCGCATCGCGAAAATAAAATTTTCCATGCACTCATGCGTCTTTTTATTTTTGGCATTCTTCTCTCCCGCTCCTCACCTCCTCGCTTCTTTTGATTTCTGACATCAAAAATCATGAAATTTAGAAGCCTTGTAGGCGACATTTTATAACATTTAAAACAGCAATCGTAAAACATGTTTTTAACGCAATTGCGAATGCACTACGGCCTTTCTTTCTGAAATGCCAAAAATCGAAGTCCGTTGTGATGTCACCTCCTGGATTTTTATCCTCCCTCAAAAAAACATGGCGGTGCCCGACGGATGTAGCAGAGGGTGATCAGCGAGTCGGGGAATCGGACGAAGTGGTCGTTTCTAGGTGCCAGACGACCCCTCAGACTTCGAAAAGGAAATTGTCAAAACAACTGGGTTTGGTGTCTGTGTATCATAGTTTCGGTTGCGACACTGCCGGGGCAGCGTCGTCTGCTCGAAGCGATAGGCAGCACGGCACGCACGAAGGAAACCGGTTTCCCAATACGCCGGCACCGTTCTCTCCCACTCCTCACTTCGGGTTGCGGAGACACGTCTCGGAGCGGAGGCACTAAAGAAATTCGACTCACAGGACCCCTCAATATTTGACGTCACTCCACTGAGTGACTATTTGACGTCGCGGGAACTTCAAATTCGGCATCTGGAAATTGTTTTTTTACTTCACAAATACTGAATTCCCATGTTTCGAATTTTGAGGGTAATGTCCAGGCATCGTTTTCAATCATTTCGCGTAATAGAAAAAATATGATTTTGATATGTCAGTGCCCCTTTAAACTCTTGTTGTCTGCAAATGTATGACAATTTAATCCAACTTCTGCGGTGCTCTGCACCACAATAGTTATTTGTGTATTCTCTTGTGCAGCCAATCAGCACACTGTCAGAATTACTACAGCAACTAGAAGGTCTGAAGGCTGCAACAGTTGAAAATCCGTCCAGCAACCCAACAGCGATGGAGGCACTGACGCACCCATGTTACATTGAGGCCTTCCGAAGCTCTCTGGAGGTCTTGAAAGTCCGCCTTGTTCTTGACAGTCTCACCCGTGGAAGTCTTCCAACCATTTTTTTCCCAGTTTCCCATCCACTGGGTTGTGCCTTAAAGAAAGTGACAAGTTACAGATAGACCTCAATGCGACAAACAGGAGTCACTGTAATAAAGAGATCTGAATATGCCAGTAGACCCAAGCACCAGGGAGAACACTGCAAGTGTAGTTACAAGCGCTGGCATCTGCTATGGTCTTCTTTTTAAAGAAAAAATCTAATACAAATGGATCTACGGGACATACTTTCTTTATAGCCGATTCGCTGACTGACCGAATCACCATTTTCATCCACAGTCCGTGCACCATGTGGCCGTCACGTCACCGATTCCTGCGATCTGTGCCTCGTCCGTGGACTGATAAAGTCGAGCGCCTTTTCACTCGCGGATTTTCGGCAGGAGATTGACTTGAAAAGCGTATAGCCAAAACAGTGTTTTGGAGAAGCAAATGCATCTTTTGGAGCAACCAAAACAGTGTTTTGGAGCAGCAAAAGTGGCTTTTGGAGCAGTCAAGACAGCGTCTCGGAGCAGCAAAAGTGGCTTTTGGAGCAGATATTCTTAGAACAATAAAAATTTGTTTTAAGTGATGTACAAACAAAGGGCACTTTGTGTTGTGTTGTGTTCTGATATGACATGTTGTGACGGAACTCGCTGCCTGTGTTTTTACTGCTGAGGCATCCTACAATCGTACAGTGCTTTAGGCATTGCCGAGCTATATCAAAACCGAAACCATGCCACTCCGCTCTGTCGCCAAACGATTCCCAAAATTGTATACAAAATGTAACTGTCTGGCATACGACAAAAAAACAGGCCAGCGGCGCATGCTTGCCAGGCTGCCAAACAAGATACAAGTTAAACACACACACGAAAAAAAAAAGAACTTGAGCACATTGATGGAAGACATCGCGGGCCATGGTTAAAACTTTCTTGGAGCGCTTTGTGCAACGACTGAACTCAAGACAAACAAATGCGCTGTGCAGGTTCTGTGTGCAGACATTGCCTTCTTTGCTTTAGCTCGCTTCTCTTCACCAACTTTCTTTCGCGGCAGTCCCTCTCACAAAGTAACTCGTGCCGCGCAAAAACGTGGTTTTGTTCCACAGCATTATGGCATGGCTGGCACCCTGCACACTAGCGTCAAAACGCCCGCACATGCCCGCGTCTATCGCTGAAGAAAATTTAAAGATGAGAGACGAGATTCCCGAGATGACAAGAGCGTGAAACGCGAGACTGTAAGAAAAACCATGCAAGACCGGATGGACGATTGATGCAGGGTACTTTGTGTTGGGCGGTTGCTTACGCCACCTAGCTCACGCATGCTCAATTACGGTTCTCAGTTTAGTTTCGGTTTTGAAAAGCGACCGAAATTGGTCCTTCGGCACAGGCTTGGCACAGAATACCCATATTTTGGCAAAATGTAGCATAATGTAGCAGGGTTAGCCCCTTGGCGCAGTTCGGCGCAGCAATCGCATCACTGCAAAAATGGTGCATCATAGTGTTTTGTGCATTCGCTGGTTCATTTTGTCGTGCGATTCTTGGTTGCACATGTGAAAGAAACTTTGCCCGGCTGACACAACGCAAGTTCCGGTACTCCTCCGGGTCTGTATCATCCTTTCACCAAGCAAGACCTTTCTTGTAGCTGTGGTGTACTTCAGTGTTGTGCATGAGCGCATGAAGACAACTCCAAGCTTTCCTCCACGATTCCAGGACTTTGTCGTTTTAATGCCGAAGCCGTCTTGAGCAGGGCCATACCTGTGCCACTGTCATGCCTTGGGTTAGTAAAGCTAGTGGCACTTTGTGCAAAGCCTGTTCTGTCTTGACCTGTACGTAACAGTTGTGTCAGATTTATCGCGGTAGCACACGTTGATTTCTCTCTTGGACAATGATGCGATGTTGGAGTTTTGCGGCACTGTGGGGTGGCAAACAGATTCGGTCCGTCCTCGCTGGCGTCTGCTCGTCGTCTCCCTCGTGGGCACGAGCTTGAGATGGACAAACCGTGGCCTGTCGTCAGGTGATCAGTCCGTCGTGTGAATCGGCCATTAATGCCTTAAAAGGCCTCCGACACGCAAAAAAAAATTGTTTCACTATAGAGGTGCGTAGTTTTTTTTATAAAAATAGAAATACGAGGCCCAATTCAAAGTTCCCGCCAGTGCACTGTGATGTAACAGTGTACCGCAAGGTGTCGGGGCGGTCAGAAGGGAGGCATCGGCGGAAGTCACGTGAGTTGTATCCCTCCTCGAGCTTACCGCGAGCGCATGTAATATTTTTTAAATATTTTTGTTGTTCTCTGCACCTCCACGAGCGATCCAAGCAGACAATGTTTCCTTTATCTGCTTTTCATCGCTTAATGTTGCTGTAAAGGTAGAAGAAGAGGAGTCGGTGAATTGACGTGATCAACTACAATGCCTAGAAGGTGCTGTGTGAGGGACTGTCCCGGTATTTCAGCAACTGAAGAAGAGATCACACTGCATGCTTTCCGAGGGACGGCAGGCATCTTCAGCCTGGAGAGTATACGATGATTCGACGACCTCGATGTCTGAACCTTCAGCAATGCAATTGGGCGTGTCGTACACAAGCAATCCTAATTTCTGCGAGCGTTCTAAAAATTTTTTTTTGAAGACTTGATAGCTTTTTTTGCACCCAGTATAGCTCTGTATCATAAAATTAATCGCATGCACTCGTACACTGGCTTGTGCTCGCAACGCTTTCATCATTGACCTTACTGATTCTTCGTCCTCAACTTTTGCAGCACGCACATTAATCAACGGTGGAGCGATAAAAAGCTAGTGGAACTGAAACTTTGTTTTCTGCAATCGCTCGTACAAAGAGCAGAAAAAAAAAAGTCTTAGGCACGGTCATGGAGAGCACGAGGAGTGAAACTCACGCGACTTCCTGCGAACCCACTTTTAGTGGCGTAGGTCGATGCCTCCCTTCTGACCGCGCCGACACCTTGCGGTACACTGTTACGTCACAGTGCACTGGCGGGAACTTTGAATTCGGCCTCCTATTTCTATTTTTATAAAAAAAAACTACACAACTCTTTAGTGAAACAATTTTTTTGTAATGTCCTGACATGCAATTTCAACGCCTAGCACAATATTTTTTTTTTTTTGTGTCAGAGGTTTTTTAATTTATCAACTGGGGCAAGTGTGCCTACATTCGCAGAATTCTCCTTGGTGCGCAGGTAATTTTAGGAAAAGCCTATTTTTTCACATTCACACGCTCCGAGGGTGGATAGGGCCATAATCCCATTTATAGCATCTTTGATTAACCCAGAATATTGTACTAACCATGCTTATAAAAAGAATTTCTAGTTTGATGAAACAAGGTCACCTACACAAGTATCGGTTAATACAACTGTGGTGGGTTAGACTTTAACTCCACAAGTGCTTGTGGGCTCAAATAACCAAGACAATCAAAAGCATGGGGTATCCTCAAAATTCAAGGTCAAACGGGATGATCCCTAAACAGGCTACAGACCATTTTCTGCGAAACATCATTCTGTGGATGATCCAGCAAATTGTGTAATTGGGAAGCCATGCTAAAGTAACCGCAAAAAACGTGTTCAAGCGCGCACTTAAGATTGGAATACACAAGGCTTACCCTTTACAAGGAAGTCGCTGTCCGTGTGAACAGTCACGTTTCGCCCGCCCTGTTCTCTCACTTGATACAAGGCCCGAGTGGCAGCCTTTGAATGCAAATAAGACGTTTAAAAAAGGTGTTCAACAACAGTAGCAGTGCAGCATCAAAACAGGACGACACCAAAAGAAACAACAAAGGTCCACAAGCACCAGACAATTTCCTGCAGGGTGGCTTCAATAAAAATCAAACCGAAACAATCCAAATGCAGTCGGCAAGCATTGAAGCGACGGGAGACAAATGTACATTGTTTTCGGAGCGGCAACAAGCAAACATTGTGATCAGCTATGCTTCGTGGCTGATCACAATGTGCCAGTTACCAATCATTTGACGATTCGGGGCAATCCCTGCCATCTCACCACAAAGAATAGTAAGCATATTACTACAGCACAGGTATTGTGAAAAAAAAAAGAAGTTCTGAATGTTGAAAACATACTTGGATCTCGGCACGGTTGTTGGTTTGACGCCCAGGCAGCGGTTCACTCACATTCCTGCAGTGTCAGATACAACATCAGTGGTGCTTAACTGCTCCAAGATTAATGAACCCCTCTACGAGAGATGTACACAAAGTGTGGAGACAGATAGGTCAAAAAACGATGGAAGCTCCCACGTCTGAAAGATTGCAGTCGAAGTTATGCAGTATATGGGTATGTATACACGACATACTTTAGGTTGTAAACTTTGATGCACAAAAATTAATTGCATGCCTAAAATGCAAAAAAAAAAAAAAAAAAAAAAATTGTAGCATGAAACGAAACAGCACTAGCTTATCAAGTTGTGAAGCGACTGCATGCATTCAGAATAACCAAAGCATTGTATTCAGAACGCGGTTTGCTCACATCGGATGGTTAGGGCCCCAGTAGACGCCGATGCCGGCACGGGGGGTCCCGTTGTAACCTCCGTTGTTGGAGCATGCTCCGTCCGTATACACGTGGTATTCGCCTTCAGCACCCCTACGAGCCATCTTGATCCTTGATCTTGATACTGGTGACTAAGAAGAACCACACAATGAATAGGCGTGGGCGCGACCATTCGAAACCATTTCTTCACGTCGCGCGACGTTTAGCAAATGGAGAAATAGAGAATTTGATGTTGGAGATGTGGGTAAATATCTTATATACGCAAGCTTTTTCACGGAACTAAGCTTAAAATAGGTTTTCCCGAAACGAATGCATTTGTTTTCTTTTGGACTGTAGTGCCAGAGACGCTGAGGCGTCGTCGTTCCAGAACGCGGAGGAAACGGCTGTGTCAACGCGGACATGTGCATTAGATTCGTGCGGCAGGAAGGAGAGATTACCACACATCTGCCGGGACGTTTAATTTTCTGTAATTATTGCCAAGAGACCGACCGCAGGCTTACCAAAAACCGGCTACTTCGAAGAGCGCGCGAGGACAGCGTCAGAGTGGTCAGAGTTCGTGATCGTGGGACGCGAGAGTGCACTCAAAGCACAAAGACCTAGCCTAGGACCAGGTCAACACGGCACTCTTGACGCTCTTCTTTCCTTGATCATCTAGTAGGAACAAAACTGATCATACTAATATCTGATAATAATTTTGGCTAGCGCTGTATTAAATCAATGAATTCGCTTAAACATAATAAGGAGTCGTTCGTTTCCTAGGTGTTCGAAACCGAAACTAAATGATAGACCTTAGTGTGTCTTGTTTCACTTGTTTAGTGGGTGGCAGGGATGCGATAATGTTTATTCCCCGTGTAAGCACACAAACCTCATGTTTTACGCTTAAATTCTTGAGGTTGTGAGGAATGTTGCACATATCATGAAATGTTTGATTGATTGGCGTCTCAGTCTTTGTGAAATACAAAGAATTCTGTTATTTAATCCTGTGCATGATAAACACTGAAATCAGAATTCACAGTTGGAGGCTACATTTTATTTAATTTCGGTTCTTTTCACAAAGGACAATTAGCTTCCTTCACATCCATCCATTTCCAACAGATTTTGAAAGGGTTTTTAAAGAAAGTTTTTCAAGGACTCCAAATTTCCCACATATGCATTCTCACAACCGACTGAATACATTTGCGAAACATCTTAAAAAAAAATAAAAAATAAAAAAAAAAAAATAATAATAAATAAATAATAATAAATAAAAAGAAAACTGCTGGGAAACGCGCAAACAATCTGATTGGGATACGCGGGTTGAAAAATTAATTTTACGCGAAAAATGTTTTTTTTTTTTTTTAGAGGAATATTGACGGCGAGAGATTTATTTGAAATTCTACGCACAAAGTCCATGACGTTACGGAATGGTCGTTCACTCTTTCCACCTCTCCTTCGCGCACTCTAAATGCCGCGAGAAAAAAGTGGGAAGGAGGTGACTACCGACAAAAGTGCGTCTCGCGCCGTCAATATTGCTCTTTTCTTTTTTTTTTTCTTCTTTTCTTCTTTTTTTTTTTTTGCGTAAAATTAATTTTTTTTTTGACACGCGTGTCCCGGTCAGTGTTAATTTCTTTTTTTTTCCGGAGGTTTAACAACAACGAAACTCCTCAAAAGTCTTTTCCAAGAGTGGTCTGTTTTTGCTGTGGCAATCACCATTCCAATTTCAACTATATCCACTAAAAAGCCAGAAATCCTCCTATTGTCTATGTGGGCATAATCATCAAATGCATCTACCGAGCGCTCTATACTCCGCGACAACTTTTCTTGGCAATGCAGTGGAAGGTACAGGCCCGCGTCCCCTCTCCCATTTTGAGAGTGCGCGTGCTCTCCTCCTCTCCCCAGAAATGGGGGAGGAGGAGAGCCTGCCTATGCTCAAAATGGGAGAGGGGACGCGGGCCTGTACCTTCCACTGCATTGCCAAGAAAAGTTGTCGCGGAGTATAGAAATTGCAGCGGCAGATCTACACATAGCTGAATACTGGCGTGAAACACTTTCAGTGCTGAATGCTGTTTCCAGATGCTGAAGACTGTTCAGCCTCGTGGAATGGTAAGATTAGAAGCATCACACTGGAGCCGGCTTACATGAAAATCGACCGTAATTTATTGTTACAAAAGTGTCCGGAGCTAGAATCGGAGGACGACGACGACAATGGACAATGGAAAGAGGTTCTTCTTTTCTTTTTCTCTTTCCTTCTGCGGCATCTTCTTCTTGCTGAAGAGTCGCGTTAGCCTGGAGGTAGAGGGAGGCTCAGGGCTGCCACGGCCAGACGGTCTGCCTCCTCGTTTCCCAGAATGCCACTGTGACCTCGCACGTGGACCTGAAACAAGGAACCAAGGGTGCATTCTTTGTTCGACACATATGCCTTGGTTCAGGAACCTAGGAAAACACCTAGGTTCCTCGGTGTTCCCCAGAATACTCTTCTCGAGCTCCCAGATTTCCCAGTCGTCCTTGCCCTCAAGGAAAGCGTCTTCCCAGCTAAAGCAGATCTGGATCATGCATTAACGCATAAATGCAGACGACAGTGCAGCCATCCATTATTGCAGACGGCAGTGCAGATGGCGTCTAAATTGCATCGGCCCTTGAATCCAACATTTGTGTACATGACTTGTCAAAATATAGGGGGGAAAACGTTAATGTACGTCCAATATTTTTTTATGAATAGGTGGAAACACAAAATAGGCTCCAAAACGGTTGTTCCACATTCATTCTGACCTTATTGGAGAGGAGATTGAGAAGTGATGATGCTCCCCAGCGGCCACCTCGGCAACTAACGCTATGCGGCCAAACAAAACCTTCAACCGCATTCATTAGTGCATTCGCTGCCATAGAAGACGACAACGCCATTGCGGTGTCTGTGTTTTTGTGAATTATTTGCAAAACACGCACATCAATTTTCAGTTACCCTGCCCCTTGCGACAATCATGGACGACATCGGTGAAAGCAAGCGGTGTTCATCGAAGGAGAAGACGTGCTCAACTGCGATGTCATCAAGTGCAAGTCCGCATCGTTGCATACATGCTGCAGTCCTCCACGCTGCATATACCCGGTTCAAAAACATGCTTCGAGCACTGCGGTACGTGCAAGTGTGCACCATATTGCAAAAAAAACAAAAATGCAGAATGCACAGAAACAATGCGGCGTACGCTAGGTGAGTGCTGGCTTCGGAGTTCGACTATACATGGCCATCACACTGTAGACGCGAATCTTGGCACCCCGGCAGACATAGTGGCTCGAGCACTACCCATACTTCATTTCACCGTAACTCGACAAAGAGCAAATTCTACAGCCCCTTAACGTCAATCGGAGCTACAAAGGCGAAGCATATGACTGCCGTTACGAAAAATACAGGAACGAGAGCGTAACCCAAGCACATAGAGAAGAGGGAAAGGAGGAACTCGCACTCTTACCCAAACCCTCTTTTGAGTGTTTCGACATGGCCTTTCTCCCCGTAGAAGACTAGCCCGTCACTGGAAATTCATGCAGAAGCGGCCTTCCTTTCTTTCCCGCCCGTGGCTTTGACAGCACTGTGTGCAACTACTGAGATATAGTCACGTGTCCCCCTCCGACAAGCTAACTGGCCCACTGGAACCGTAGCCTTCGCTTTTTGCCAAGTTACGGTGAGGTAGGGCATAGCTATGGACCGACAGATAAATACGACTGAACCCTTTGGATCGGGCAGTAGCTTGCGCCACCTAGCAAGTGTTTAATTGTGAGGGCAGTCTGGCGCCGACTGCTGGCAACAAGAACACTCGCTCACTTCATTGTTTGTGTAGCTGTGAATCGACAGATGAATACGGTTGAGCCCTTCGGGTCGGGCAGTAACTTGCGCCACCTAGCACGTGTTGAATTCTGAGAGCCACCTGGTGCTAATTGAAGACAACGAGAACAAAAAAAAATTGGGTTGTGTGGTATGTTTATACAGCCTAGAACTTGGTCTGCCTCACAGGGGCGACGAGTCTCCCAGCTGTAGATGAGCAATTTAGCCAGTGCAGTACAACCGCTAGCCTGGGGTCTTTAATGTGCACCACGCAGTAGTGATACACGACCGCACGCCGGTACGATGCTCATCCAGATCGAAACGGGCAGGGGTGGGGATTGAGCCCAGGATCCCTGGGTTCTGCAGCGCGAGCTTTCGCTCCACGTGCTCCGAGCTGGTGTGCGCTAGACCACTCGGCCACCGATCCCCCAACAACAACGAGAACACTGAGTTAGAACACCGTCATTGGTCACTCACCCACTTGACCCTGAGGCCCTCTGCGGCCTTGAGAAGTTCCAGGAAGTCCTCTTTGTTCTTGACCGCCTGGCCGTCCGACAGCTTCCAGCCCCTCTTGATCCAGCCGTCCATCCACTTGGTCACGCCTCGAGGGAAAGCCATGCGTGCAGGTTTGGAATGCGGCACATTCAGCATTTTCTTTGAGTTGACTAAGACAGCGTGCTCTGGGCACACCAAACCGAGTTTTACTTTGGGAGTAGCAGGCAGTCCACTACGCTGATGAACTGAAGCCTAGCAACATGTGGAGTGATGGGTTGAATTTATAAAGAATATTTAATGCTTGTAAAAAGAAATACTATTAATGGTGTGCTATATTACCATGCTTTCCGGTCTACGTCTATAAGTCACACCTCCGCAGTTAAAGTCCACACTTATAGATAAAATGCACATAGGTCATACAGTTGCATAAAAGCACACCAGCAGAAACTTGGAAAGAAAATGTGACTTGTACACCAGAAAATATGGTAGCTCTATTCTAATATTTACTTGCATCAGCAATCACTTACAAGATAAAGACATCTGTTTTATAAAGGGGACTTATGATGTTATATGATGTAGTATGTTCATTGATTATGGAAATAGACAAAACATACTGCTAAGAGATTGTGCACTAAAATAATGTGTTTACCTGTAGAATATCCTGTATACATATAATATCAAATTTGGTAGTAGTCATACTTACTAGCACGTGCTCCGATTTGACAAAAAGGATCCATCACTGGCCATTGGTTATGAATTCTGACCCTGTGTGTATTGCCATACATATTGTGTTTCTAACAAGAAAGAAAGAAAATTCATCCTACCAACAAGCATGCGACATGAACGCATGTCGTGTCGGCGGCAGTTTTGTATAACTGCCACACTCGGCGTCAACTTTTCTGTGCTGCGCTGTCAAGGCCGGCATAGTTTCCAGAGTGCTCCGACGCCGTCCAAGCTGCTTGTGCGAGCGAGAAGCAAGGCGAAGCCGCGCGTCACACTAGTCTCAACAACGTAGCACAACGAGGTTGATGAGGAGTATAACAGTTAGCGGTCACTCGAAAGAGGTGGAGCACGAGACAACGGTTGTCTTTAAATAATTTTCGAGCGCTTCCGTTGTAATTACAATCAATGGGTACCGTATTTCCTGGGCTATAGTCCGCAGGGGCAAAATTCGGGATCAAAAATAAAAGATGATGCTTAGATTGTCCGTACGCCATGCATAGTCCACAACTGGCGCTTAGACGACACGAAAATCTTCGAATGTCTGCTTTCTTAGCTCCCAAGCAAGCTTGTATTACACATAATTCATTATTAACATACTCTTTCACTCATAAAATCCGTCGCATCTCGTCATAATGAATGATACTGCTAAGATTTCAACTTTTAAAGATGTATAGCCTGCGGACTATAGATGCGGTACTTCTTTTCTATCGGCGATGCGTACAAAACTAATTGCTACAATTGCGAGGACGTGGACCGAGCCTGCCGTCGTGCCACTCACTGTTGATGAGGAAGGAGCTGTCGGTGTAGATGGTGACATGCCGTCCGCCAAGACTCTTGACCTGTTGCAGTGCCCGTACTGCTGCCTACGGGGCCATATTGACATTGAGAGAGGCGAAAACACAACTGTTACTAGCATGGAAAAGCGAGGCAATCCACATCCTTCCCATTCCTAGATGCTGTCAGCTCGCTCGTTTAGGCTCTCACATTAGAAACTTCGAATGCTACTGGCTGACCTCAGTTGTACAACATAAAGTAAACGCCGATCGTTGTTTCTGGCTTTCCACTCTCAACGAGTAAGCGGCAAGCAACCTGCTGGAAAAGAGTCAAAGTACAGGCTAGCTGGTGGAAGTCAACCATTTCGTCGTTTACCCTGAGACTGGGTTTTTTTTTGAAGAGCAGAAGAAACAGAAAAAACAGACAGGTCTGTTTTTTCTGTTACTTCTGCTCTTCAAAAAAAAAAACAGTCTCAGGGTAAACGACGAAATGGTTAACCTGCCGGAATTGTTTTTTCTTGCGTGCCGCTTGATTCGAAGTCACTTGCTCTACGGGCCAGGTGGCGTAACGTGCAAACCACGAGATTCTATCGAACATCCAGATGCTAGATTAAGAGTGTATTGGAAGAAAGTAAAACCTGATATCCCACGCATTAAGTCGGAAAAATCTTACTGGTTGGCACACATTAATCTCGCACCAACCAGAATGCAGCTGTTCTTGAGAGACGCCAGGTTGCTTTATGCACAGCTCGAGTGACTCGTCAAAACAGCTTACGTGTATAAATTACCTCGAAATCTTGTAACCAAACTGGCAATCAGTAAGCTCAAACGTTCCAGTTGTGACTCACGTGGATCTCTGCGCAGTTGTTGGTCTGCCGCCCCGCCAGCCGTTCACTGATGTTCCTGCACGTGTTGCAAAAGCATGCGTGCCAATCTCAGACACTCGACAATCCTAGAGCCTTGCGTCTCATTGAAAGCCGTATTCTGATCTATTCAACGACTCGTTCATGCGCGTCTCGTAGCGTCTCGTACGAAAAACCCTGAAACCAGAAGAGGTTGCATTCAAAGTGCAGCTATCAACTGCCCGCATGGGTGTACACTGCTCCAACGTGTGTCATTATGCCGCTCCGTCATGCGCGTCGGAACAACGTGCTGCATGGCTTCTAGCCGACTTGCGATTGGACCTCACAGCCTGTAGCTCCGACCGTAGGGGCAGGCCAAATAGTGACAAGGAGAATGAACTAACAAACTATAGGGGGTGCTTCGTCCAGCTTGTTTTCCATAGAGCTCGGTGTTCACAGGGCCTGTGGACTCGATTCTTCACGTCATCTCCTCAATCAAGCGCGAGACACTGACTTCAGCATCTAGCGTTCAGCTGGGACTTCTGTTCAATCGGTGCTCCGCCGATCCAAGACGAGTCGCGGCCAAACGCGGACGCAGCATTCGGCTACGTCAGCCGAGGGCCGTGTCGGAAACACAGACAGATCATTCGTTATCGTTGTCCCTTCGGATTTAAGTCTGCTAGTCGGCTGCTAGGGGCGCGTCAGTTGGATTTTCTTGCCAATGAAAGACGTTAAGCTTCACGAAGAGAGGGATGTCCTTACATGGGATGGTTGGGCCCCCAGTAAACACCGATGGCGGCTCTCGGGGAGCCGGTGTGGCCACCGTTGTTGGAACACGCGCCGTCTGTGTACACGTGCAGCATGTCGTCTGGGTCTGCGTAGTGAAACAGTGCATGCAAATAGAACAGAAAAACGTGACAAATTAGGTTGCTCGAACTGGAAAGATAAGGAACAGCGCACGTGAACTGCAGTCACTAAAAGAACAGAGGTGTAAAAGACAATAAAAGAGAAACGCGCACCGCGTGCGAGAGCTTTCAAGCTGCAACGTTTTTTTTCTTCTAAAGACATAACTCGAAGATAAGTGTTGTTGTAAGCTGAAAGCTTCTTACGCATGTCTGTTTTCGTCCCTCTGCATTTCACACCTCTGCTCTTGTTGCTTTTTGCCAACAGATTTGTTGTGGATCTTTTGCCGCTGCTCACCTGATACATACACTGCTAACGACACTCGCGAAGGAAAACTTCTGTCACGTGGACATAACATGCCGCCAATTGTTAGGTACACCCTGTTTATGTGCATTCTGCAAGTGTGTCGATGTGTTACGTGAACGAGTTATCAGAACTTTGAGAGCTCGAAAGGCCTGTTGCATTAAGGAATAAAGAAAGAAGCGTGATAAGACAAGTTTTTGGGAGATAATATCTGCGTGAATCAACGACGTAGTCACTGATAGAGTGAGAATGGTGGGATTTGTCTTTTGAACGCCATGGCACTGCAAGCCGCAATGTCAACACAATCACTGTCGTGGGTCGAGTTTGACATACCATTGACATCGGCAGCAATGCTCAGCTTGCGAGATTTCCCACTCCCCAGGTCTTGCGGCTGGTCGAAGTCTAGGGAACAAAGGGAGAATTTACGCTCAGACCCTAGTCACCACTTTCCCCGAATCGCATCATCTGCCTCCTCTCTCAGCTCTGTTCGACTTACCGTGTTTTCGCTTTCTGCAGTCGACCCTCCCGACAATGTGGCTGCTTGCCCCACATACCGCTGATCAAAGGGTGAATTAACAGAAGCAAGTTAGCAGTCTATACGGCAAGATAAGATGATGTAACAATTGAAATGTCGGCTCACAGTGTCCCAGCGTCACTTCGCCGAGGGGGTCGCTGTTGACGAAGGCCCATGCTTCTTCCTCGGTGCTGAACTTCTTGAAGCTCGGGCGCGGATATCCTTTAACCTGGCTTTCGCACTCAGGCCTGTGAATAATGAACTTGTTGTTCGAGCAATCGACGAGTGACGTTTTAACACCACAAACGCTCCCGACCTGTGAAATTTGGCCTGGTGAGAAGGAGGCGAATGTGTCTGAGGGCTCAAACGAACAAAACATCGGTCGCTACCACAAGAAAAACCGCGACAGATGGTTCGAGCTTGGAAAGGATCGATTGTTGAATGAAACAGCGGAAGGCAAGAGATAATGAGGCGATAATCGAGTCTCGTATAATCTGGCCAGCGTCTTCTTTTGTCGTTGGCTGTCACAGACTCTAGGATTTCGAAAACTGCTCTCTTCGAAAAGCGATTTCAAGAGTTGGGACGGAAGAAAAAAAGCAGGGACCTTACCATGAGAGAAAGACGCCTCTATTTCGGCCGTTTCGGACGGCATAGTAGAATTGTCCTTTCTTGGGCATTGCGGCGCATAAACCAAGCAGCAGTGGTCGCAGAAGCATACACTTTTTCTTGTGTGTCTGTGCGTAACGACGTTTCGGCGTCCCCTCCACACAAAAAATGTCAACAAACGAAGCGATGCTGGTGGGGGGGGGGGGGGGGGGGGGGGGGATGCTGGACAACCAAAAATATTGAAAGAAAATCGTGAATGTTTCTCACTAAATACTACCATGGCCGCTCGAGCTTTTCATTTGCTTTTCAAGCGATATGGCCACATCGGTCACGAATACGAGTACACTGCGGTTCAACTTGCATAAATATCCCTTTCTATAAATCAAGCGGAGGGATTTTAAGAGTTATCTTAGTTTTTGAGAGGATTAAACGCGGAGTTTCGAAGGTTGGGGTAGGTTTTACTAGTGACAAACAGCTGAAAACGAAACTCGATGCTTCTGCCGTCTAGCGGGTTAAAACTTTTGGCATCTCGAAATTTGCCTATGGACGAGGATACTAAAAGTTGGCGCTTCCTTTTCCGGCCCAAGTGCTCAAGGTAGTGTACGAATGCCATATCGTTTGACGTTGTAATAATTAAAAATTGTATAATTTAACCATCCTCGCATAGAAATAACTACATAGAAAGGAGGCGAGAGCAAGCTTTTATAAGGTTTGTCGTTCACTTTATTGGCAGACTGCGTATTTTCTCAGATTAGGACCGATTACGGTTGGGATGCATGCACCGATCAATCCGTCTCGCTTGTGATCCGTGCAGTTTAAACAAAGTGCTGACAGTGGTTGTTCGCGTTATTCGGCGAGTCAAAAGCGCTAGCTTAGTTTCTTTCGCTAGCGAACGAAGTTTCGACTTCCTTTCGTTGTTACCGCAAACTTTCCGGCGTTGTCGGAGCAAAGTTTTGCGCGTGACAACGCTTCAAGTTTGCTCGAAAGTCGTAAAGGACAACAAGCGGCGTCTCTGCTGTTCCAGATGTACTCGGCCAACGCCAAGATAGTGAAGCCCAGAGTGGAAAACAGAAAAACCAAACCTGGCACCGAAAAACGGGAGGAGATCACGAAGCTGGAGGAATCGGTCAGCCAGGTAAGTTTGTCGTCGCCTTTCTTTGCAGTCCGGCGCCGACGTGATTCGCGTTTCAGTTGTCGCATGGCTACTAAACGAAAACCGCGATGACAGCTTGGGGTTTTGTGTGTGTGTGATCGCAGGCCTTACTCGAGCTCGAGATGAACAGCGACCTAAAGGCGCAGCTCAGAGAGCTGCACTTCGTCGGCGCCAAGGAAGTCGAAGTCAAAGACAAAAAGGTGAGTGATTATTCCTTTTTTTTTTTTTAGTATGTAGTGTGTATTGTCACGCACCAACTACGAAACCTGGACTAAAGCTGCACCTCCCAAAAAGTGCTTACTGCAGGCCTGCTTTTGTCAGATGTTGGAAAGCTTGGAAGATAGCATCTCAATCTGCACTTAAATTGAGGAACATGTTAGTTTATTAAATGCGGCATGTAAGTTCCAAACGTTTGGGTGGAACAGTGGAGCTACCCTGTCTATGTAGAGATGCAGATACAAATGAGACGAAAATACGGAACAAAGCAAGATTTCTCCGAAAAACCTTTTATTCACTATCTGAAAACCAGCAGGTAGTTCACGGGCCAGTGGAGGAGCAGACCAGGTGTCTTGTGTCTTAGTTGAACAAGGATGTTAACTGATTCGTAGACGGGCTTTCCTCTGTCCCCCATGGGTTTGCTTTTTCCACCAGTGATGTGCTGCACTGCAAAACGTGGCACGGTTCTGGTAGCTTCTGCTTCTAAACAGTCAGACGTGCATATAGATACTAGGTCAGCTAATTCAAGTGGGTCAGAGTTTGGAGAGAGGAAAACCATTATGTTCATTGTAGGGTTAGCGTCGCGTCCCTTTGTGACACTGAGTGGGTTCCGTCAGGTTGTTTATGTGATTAACTGGAAAAGATGATTCAGTTCCCCACTGCTGTGGTGCTGGAATCCACAGCATTGTTGTTGAGTACGGAAAACCTTAAAAAGTTTAGACCGATCTAACGTCTATTTCATGTAAAAGTTGCTGGGCCATTAAAATGTAGCTTTTCTTACTGTTGAGTTGACCACTTGTATTGACAATTCCCGCTAATGGACATCATAGCCCTGCACTTTTCGAAGCATGGCACCTATCATAATTATCAACCTGCCATTTATTGCATTTTACGTTAGAGCCAACTGGACGACAAGGCACTATAGTAAGTTACAGGTCAAGAAGGTAGCGGCAAATGCCCCTCAAAGGGATTCGTATATCCCTCCGCATCCAATAGCGTCCCATGTCGTTTCCGTGGTGTCACGGCCAACACAGAAGGAGGGACTTGCCTTCCTGTAAATATTTGCCTTATATTTTGACTTTCACTTAGCGTTGTGCAAGCCACGAGAGGGAGATTAGTTTTCCCCCTCCAATGGAAGCAAATACGACTTTCGAGGGTTTGGTTCCCCCTCCGATGGATACAAAGGCAACTTTCAGGGGCTCGGTTCCCTCTCTGATGAATACCAAGGTCGCTTTCTTAGAAAGGGGGAGTCAGAGACAAGTTGGCATCACTCTGTAGCCAATATATGTCCATTGAAGCGGTACAAGGGGCATTTCCTGTGAACTCTTCTTTCGACTCCGGAGGGATTCGAAACGGGTGCATCACGCTTGTGGGAGGAGCTTCTCTTACCTTCTTGACTTGTAACCGTCTGTAGTAATGCCCAAACCCAGAGTTCTGGTACTGACAGCGCTAGGCATCATTTGCAGAGACTACTGGTCACATTTTTTATTTTCAGGTTTTTCATATTGCAATTTGCATACCCTGTGCAGATGTGAAGGTCAGGGTAGATTTGGAAAGGTAGTAGTCGCTTTTACACTGCTAGCAATTGCTGATTGGCAAACTCGTCTGCATGTAGACGGCTTGTGTTCAGGCTGGGAAGCTGGAGCTGTTACACCCTAAAATATGAAGCATGCACCCAGGTCAACATAAGCAAATGTGAAAACTAAACAGGATGTGTCAAATGCTCGTCCCAGCGAACTTCTGAACCCACCTATTTGACAGAGGATCCCCTCCCTGTCAACCACTTCTACTAAGCACCCCGGTGCAAAGCAGTGAAGCCCATCCTATCAATGCCGCTTCAGCATTTTTTGCTCTTGGTTGTGACAAAGCGCCCATCTGTTGTTGTTTTTTTTTGTTTCTTTTTATAGCATTATCTTATTTTTGGGTGGCCGCTTATACCTGCCAAGTTTTACGATTTTATAGTAAAATGCCTGTTTTCCAGCGCTTTCTTAGGGTTATCGTATTGACAACAATATTTGTACAATTTTTCTGATCCTGTGTAGAAAAAAATGTATAGTTGGTTACAAGTCAAGAAGGTAGGAGAAGCTCCTCGCACAAGCGTGATGCGCCCGTTTCAAATCTCTCCGCAGTCGGAAGAAGAGTTCATTGGAAACGCTCCTTGTTTCGCTTCAATGGATTCCAACTTGTCTCCGATCCCACTTTTTAAGAAAGCGAGCTTTGTATTCATTGGAGGGGGAACCGAACCCCTGAAAGCAGCCTTTGTATTCATCGGAGGGGGAAGATAATCCCCGAAAGTCGTATTTGTTTCCATCGGAGGGGGAAAACTCTAGTCTCCCCCTCGTGGCTTCCACAATGCTAAGTCGAAGTCGAAAGATAAAGCAAATACGTACAGAAAGGCAAAACCCTCCTCGCGCGTTGGCCGCGACATCACGGAAACGATAGGACGCTATTGGATGCGGAGGTGGCGGAGGGATATATGATTTCCTTTGAGGGGCATTTGTCCCTACCTTCTTAACCTGTAACCGACTATAGTAAATTGTTTTTGCTTGAGCTGCATCTCGCCAGTTTGCTATTCGGTGTTGGCAAAACTGATACATACGTCGACTTGTATGCTAGGCGCACAAGCTACCGCTCTTTATAAGGGGTATAGCCGCTAATATCCATCCATCCAAATTCAAAATAACTTTCTGTTTATCTCCTTTGTTGTGGCAACTTTGGTTGTGGTGCACGTCATGCGTTGTGTTACCAGAACTTTTGCGCATGATCCCTTGACACCACTATTACATCAAGATGTTGGGGAAAAAAATACTCTCCAGTGTTTATTCCCAGCTATTCAACCGGCTTTCCATTTATCGAGACGTTGTGCAAGGGCGAGAGGTACTCATTTTGTAGTCTGTGCCGCTGCGAGGTCAACATTTCACACGCTGGTCGCCAAAGCATTCTGTGTCATCTCAGCATGAAAAAGCACAAGAACTGCAAAACTAGTTGAAACCAATGAGAAGCTTGGAGGATACTTTAGCCGATCAACGAATCAGGACACTACCCAAATGCCTTTTACGGCTTTTTTTTTTTTTTTTTTTTTTTTGTTGAACCCAACATGCCGTTCATGGAGACTGATAATGCCGGAGACTTCTTTCGGAAAACGTTCCTGTCTCAAAGGAAGCTACAAACTAAAATTGGTGCTCGAACCAAGACAACTGCGATAGTGAAGGGAATGGCTGAAAGAGATTGGCGGTTTTGTTAGTAGTAGTCACGTTTTGTGACGAAGTTTTGAAGAATAAAAGAGTTTTCATATTTCTTAGCATAATTGTAGTATTCTTTGGCATCCCCTGTAGTATTTTGAGCATTGTAGGGTTGGCAGGTCTGGCGCCTGCTTTGTATTTTTCAATAGTTCAGTTCCAGTGCCAATGGGGTGTGTATTTGCAAGTGCGAGCGGCCTAGTGATGAAATATACGTGAAGGATGACAACCGTGATCGCATTCACGTCAGTCACTCTAATTTTTTTCTGAAGGCTGCGTCGACAAGGTGTTTGGTTCGCAGACAAAGCGTTTCTGCAGTGCATCTGCCGAGGTAGCTGAAGGTCGACTTGCGCTTTTCGTCGGGTTGCAACGTCTTTTTCGCTCGGTGCAGGCGATCCTGGTGTACGTGCCGGTGCCGCTGCTGAAGAAGTACCAGAAGATCCAGGCCCGGCTGGTGCGCGAGCTGGAGAAGAAGTTCAGCGGCCAGCACGTGGTGTTCCTCGCGAGGCGGGTGGTGCTGGCCAAGCCGACGCGCAAGTCGCGCCAGACGCAGAAGCGGCCCCGGTCGCGCACCCTGACGGCGGTGCACGACGCCCTGCTCGAGGACCTCGTGTTCCCGGCCGAGATTGTGGGCAAGCGGGTGCGAGTGCGCCTAGACGCCTCCCGCCTCATCAAGGTGCACCTGGAGCGCTCCCAGCAGACCAACATCGAGCACAAGGTCTCTTTGCTCGTCCTCCCTTCCTCTTTGTCTGCCTGTCCGTCCTCCCTCCCTCTTGTCCATTTAGTCCTCCCCTTTGTTTTCCTGTTCATCTTTCGTCCATCCATCCTCCCTTCCTCTTTCTTTTTCCATCCATCTTTAGGGATTGAGCTGTACCATTGTGCCTGGAATGTTCCTACAACTGGTGTGTTTACTGTCTCTTATGTCGTTTCCCTCTTTGTCTGTCTGTTGATGTCAAAACTTTGGTGCTGTGGTCTATTGCATTTCTGGTGATGGTACAGTGGCAGAAGTGGATATTGCAGACGTTTTCTCAGCTGTAGTTCGCTCTGTACGCATTGAAGACACGTCTGCGTTCGCTAGCCTTTTTCTTTTTGCTGGTGCTTGTACAGTGAACCACCAGTATTTTCACGTTTCATTGCATAGTGGCTTCTCTGACAATGTATTTTGCTGATATTTGCAGCACAAAACGCTAAGCTTGTTTGTCCAAGGCGGATTCCTGTCACTGTGGCTGTCCTACTCTCATCAGCTGATGAATGGGGTTTTCCTTGTTGATATGGGTGCCTGATGACTGGGCCATATTACTTCAGTTTTGGTATCTGAATCCAAATGCTTGTTTTGGTTGCGCGTTATTGACAGGCAATTGGTTGGGATATCTGGTATGTACAGCGGGGTCCCGAATCTATGTAAAGCCTTTAAAGGGATACTTCAACGAAATTTGAAATATTCCCGTTGTGTTCAAAAATAGGTTGAATATGATCCACAATATCCGTAAATAACAATTGCACGTTTGTATTTTGAGCCTGGTGGCTGCATTTATCGTTATAAACGGCCCACTCTGGCAAGCGCTCGGAGAAGGCCCAGCGGAGATCACGTGACGTCCAACGCAATCGTGACGTAGGTCGTCTCAGGATGAGCAAAGCTAGGGCGAGGCTGACATCGTGAGGATGGCCTAGTCCTTTTAGCGAAGCGGCTGCCTTTGTACGAATTTTGAGTGTTGGGTTACTCTTCTGTAATCTTGTGGGGGGACAATAGCGACTTCTGCGACACACAAAAGGCATTCTCGGGACACAAAAGGCATTCTCGGGAAAAGGGGAGTTCCTCCTGCCCCTCTTCTCTCGTCGTGGCCGGAGGCGAGACAACCTCCGTCACTAGATGTCAAGGTTCCTAGACGGGCATTACAAGCGAGGCGTTAGCAACATCCACAAGGTGCTCTTTGCTAATCGTTTAATTCGTTTTAAAATTCATTTTCGAGACTTTTCGAACAAGATATTGGTATGTTCAATGTGGTGCTGCTCCTTTGAACACATGTAGACCAAAAAATGAGTGCCGAAATTTCGTCATAGTATCCCTTTAAGTGACCACATAAATCGGTTTGGTTACATATTGTGCCATGATTTACAAGAGAGGTGCCTGAAGGTGGTGGAAGCATCGCATCCTAATTTCAAATTTGCCCGAGTAAGAAGTAAAAAAAAAAAAAAAAGACTAGCTGGTATTGGTTTTTTCTAGCTATGGCACCCGTCTGCTAATCACACACTCTGACTGGCGCAGCAACTGATAAATGGCGGCGGCGGCAGTTTACGGCTGCAGGCGACCTGTAACTGAAATTACTGGACGAACTATCGGTCTTATTATTTTTGTGTTCATTTTTATTGCATACACAAACAAAATCATGCAATCATTATAGCACGGAAAAAGTGCACCAATAAGATTAGAAAAGGTGTGCTTTTGGCGCAACCGGGCGGGTGCTGAGGTGCCGTAAACCGCCGGGGCCAGTCGGTTGCTCCAGTTGGAGGGTGTGCGGTTAGCAGGCAGTTGGACACGTCCTTGCTTCCAGCACGGGCTCCGTGCCTTTTGCTGTGCATGGCGGAACAACTGAAGCTCCTCCATTCCTTTTGTCAGTGTCTGTAGTAGATGAAAACTAGCTCTTGAGGTGGTGTGCCATTATTGTTGTTAGTGTATGTGGTGTGGCCTCTCATGATGAAAAATCAATCCTAGAATGACGCACACGTGATTCTAACTCGAGACACTCTAATTTTTTTCTGACGGCCACATACGAAAGAAGGCCTTCGGTGCTTGGCCTTTCTGGCATGACTGCTAATGCGTGGGGCTGGTTTCCTATCTTTGCAGCTGGATACTTTCTCGGCAGTGTACAAGAACCTCACTGGCAAGGAGGTGACATTCGAATTCCGTGACCCTCCCTTCTAAAAACTGGGGACTGTTAATAAATGAAGGTCATACTGGATGGGCATGCGCGTCTCCTTTGCCTTTTTTTCTTTTCTGTTGTATATTCATTTTGGGATCAAAATTCACCTTGATCGAAAAGCTAGTGTTAACTACTAACTAATTGGCAAAACATGTTTTAAGAAAAGCAATACTGCACTAAAAAAGAAATAAGTTGAACCTTAGTTTGGTTTTTGGCTATAGTTTTAGTTTAGCTTTAGTTCATTGCTCTCTGAAACTTTAAATGAGTTTTATTGCAAATAGTGCAATTGGCCTCGGTGCAAACAAAGGCGCAAATGTGCGTGCCTAGCTCAGCAGAATGCTGTTGCAAATAGATGGCACTTTGTGTCTGCCTAGCTCAGCAGAGCCCTTTGCAAATAGAAGGCACTTTTCATTTTATACCAACTAGTGTTTACGAACAAACCAAAGTGCCCCATCAGACGCCACCGGCGCCGCACATGCGCGATAGGGGGGTGGGCAAGAAGCTCGCTGTTGCCCATAGAGAAACCATTGAAATGCAATGTTATCGGCGTCGGTGTGAGTCCCCCTGCCCTCTTTCGCGTTCGAGTTGTTGATTCTTTGCTTCCTGGCAATGCCTGACTACTTGCGTCCTCAGCGAAATTAGCAAGGCCCGTTACACCGCCAAACTTCGCTTGAATCATCTGACATGCGGCGATTCATTCCGTGTGGATGCTGCAGAATGTACGCTAAAGCCCGATTCGCATGATGAGATTTCGCTTCGCAATTTTAAGTCGCGACGTCGTTCGGGCTGGAAAAGCGTGAACTGTAGCTGAGATGGTCGGCGTCGATACTGAAAATTGCAAGCAGAATCGGACCATGTGAATCGGGCATAACAAGTCGGTGATGGCCACTGGTAACAATGATCATCTTGTGTCTACTGTTTACATCGAGCCTGCTTCCCTACCTTCAAACTTTAGCCTTATGAGGCCTGCATTGACTTGTCACAAGTACCGGGCCCACGTTGGTCTACGGGCCGGTGTAATCTGAAAATGCAGACGACAAGCAGAAACATTTGAAAGAGCAGACGACAGTTCGAACGATCAGGCGGCCGTTTGAACTTGAAGACTCTGAACGTGGTCCATACAACAAGACTCTCCCGGCGTTCATGTTGGAACAAAAATCTGATGACCCCAAGTATCCGTGAATTCAACCCAAAGTGCTTCCTGCCCAAGCAATCTTGGTACGACGACGTCTGGATTTCCCTTTCCACGGCACATATCCACATTCTCGGACGAACCGAGCACATGAAAACTGTGCTTCAAACCTTCCTCCACTCTTTTGGTACAGCCCCAGTCGCGGCGTTTTGACAAGAAAACTGTTATTTGTTTGCTTCCTTTCAAAACAACGCAGTAACACCGTAACACCAGTAACACGTCTCGCATGGGGATTTCCGCCCACAGCTCCAGACCAGAAGTGCGCCTGACGCGCCACCACCGCGCCGTGACGTAACAGAGATGAGTTAGTGTCAACGTTACTAGATTACCTCAGTAGTGGAACTCAAGCAGAAGGGGGTACCCCCCCTCACTCATTTCAATCCGCCAAGTGTCGTTCGAAGCGCCATCTAGATTTTCGTTTCATAACTGCGTTCCAAAGAGCAGAGATGAAGCGCCATCTAGACGCCGTGCTTTGAAACGTACATAGCGGTTAGTTATTAGATTGGCTCAGTTACGGAACTGCTCATAGACGCTGCATGCACGAACAATACCCCCCTCACTCACCACGACTCGCCAAGCGTTGCTCGACACGCTGCCGGACAGCTGCTTTGCTAACTTCAGCGTGTTCTATGGGAATTGGGTCGGGATCGCTGGGATTGCTGGGACGGCGTCTAGATGGCGCTTCATCTCTGCTCTTTGGAACGCACAGTTATGAAACGAAAATCTAGATGGCGCTTCGAACGACACTTGGCGGATTGAAGTGAGTGAGGGGGGGTACTCCCTTCCACTTGAGTTCCACGACTGAAGTAATCTAGTGATATTGTAGTGAGTGCGCAGGCGAGCTGGTGGAAATTAACCATTCTGATGTTAGCCTGAAACTGAGGCAGGAAAAGAGGAAGTTTCAAAGTAGAAGAAAAAGGAACAGTCGAGGATACGTCTCTAACACAGCTAAAGACAAGTTTATTCGGTCACCCTCTTATATACTCTCCACTTGTGGAGAGTAGGTATATAAGAGGGTGACCGAATAAACTTGTCTTTAGCTGTGTTACAAGTTTATTCGGTCACCCTCTTATATACTCTCCACTTGTGGAGAGTAGGTATATAAGAGGGTGACCGAATAAACTTGTCTTTAGCTGTGTTAGAGACGTATCCTCGACTGTTCCTTTTTCTTCTACTTTGAAACTTCCTCTTTTCCTGCCTCAGTTTCAGGCTAACATCAGAATGGAGTAATCTAGTAACGTTGGTTAGTGTCAACATTGTTTCGTAATGCGATTGATAATTTGCTACCCTGTAATCTCACAGTTGCCCGCCGATGTCTGCGTTAATCGAAAATGCAGGTTTCATCCATGAGCACCAAATATTTTCCATAACTAAGATGCCGCATAGACAGCGCTAGCTACCGCCCAGTTCGCAAAACATGTCACTATTCATCCACTTGTAGCTAACAATTTTAATAATTATAAATGTCTTGCAGTTCTATCATCGGGGCAGAAAGCTTTTGAAAAACCAGTTAAGCGTATTTGTGGTGTTATTATTTGGTTCCTGATTACTGTGTTGAAATAAATAATACTCAAATGGATCCACCTTACTGACGTCACGACTCGACGAACTCCGAATAAACGAACACAACCATTGCGTGTGGCGTGCTCGCGATGCCATGCCCACCAAAGCTGTGGTCGTAGTGTAAACACGTGTATGGTTGGCGTGCTCCGCGTGGTTTGAAATGGTGTCTGCAGCGCTTATTGGTATATCCAATCGCTTTCATACTTCGTATCAGGTAAGAATTTGACTTCGTCGAACTAACATCGGATGACAACTGCCAAACGAAGCGTTATTCACACGCTCAACTCTGTTTGCCAGCCTTGAACGACAGCCATGACTGGGTCGGTTCCTCCACAAAGTTAACATATCTGCAGCAAACTTGGAAGGCTAATAGCTGAAGCGGCTGAAGCACTGGCATGGAGAACCCGGCAGAGTACTACAAGAAATGCGCTCGAGCGTTGACGGAACAGAGCGAGTCTGGGGAGGCCACCCGGCAAAATGGGGACTGCCTACCCGGTGTCAAGCTCTCGCGAAAGGTAGGGAACAGACATCTCCACTGGCGTTTACGTTGTTGGAGTCACGGAAACCTGACGCTCATTTTTGTTCGTTTGACCCTCCTAGCGGCCCGCCGAAGACGAAGCGGAGACCGCTGGGAAGCAAGCGAGACTGGAAGATTCGCCGATGCTGGTGGACCTCAAGTATCCTCGAGGTAAAAAATAAAATAAGAAACGATATGCTATATGTTATCTTTAAGGCCGTCCTGAAAATTTTAACGTCCATATACTAGATTCAAGAAGCAATAAACCAAGAAAGCTACATCCCCTGCATGGCCCTTAGTGATCTGCTTACAAAGGACACATGTATGTAACATGATGAATATTTCGAAGACCTTCCAGCTCGAAAACAATTTAGCAGACAACGAACAAAGCACGGCCCGCGAGAGGCCATTAGACTCGACCTAACTTGCCAACCGCACGAGCGGCCTTCTGCTCAGTCTCTTTCGAGATCTCCACACGACACACACATGAAAGCGCGTTTGTGAATCGGCTTGCAGAATGGCACCATATGGACTTAGTCACTGGCGGTGCGAGAATAACAGGGGGGTGGGGCTTCGGTTTTCTTAATTCCAGCGCGAACCTCCTCGAGTGTGAACCTCAAGTGGGCGTGCGTAGCCGAAATATAGCGGAGGGCATGAAACGCATGCTGGAGGCTATGTATTCGAAACACACACACTCCTGCTGCTCTCACTCTGTCAGTGACTGTAGCTGCCATCACGCCATTAAAGGAGCCGTGCCACAGTTTCAGTTCTTTGCTTAAATAATTTGAGAGTTAATGTCTCGACCTTTCTGAAGTAAAGAACAAAAAAAAAACACTTTTGCCTGCATGTCCTAGTTTTTATTTTAAAAATGGACAAAGATTGAGGTTTTCGGTTCCTCTCAACTCCTTTACCATCTTTCGAGTCACGTGCGCTGTGACGTCAATGGGGGTTTCGCGGGGTTCCGGTGAAGCTCTCTCTCTAGAGGCATCAGTGAGCAGCGAGAACTCATCCGCTCGCAACCACGTGCTGGCGGGCGCAGCGAGAACAATGTGGTGAAAGGAGGAAAGTCTGATCCGGGTTCGGCTATACCCGTCCGGCTCTGTCCCCCTCCCCTCCGGCTTCTGGTGGCTGTTTGCGATATCAGATAGAGCTGACCTAGGATAGATGGCGCCACTAAAACTCCGTATAATAGAAGCTTGGTCGATGATACAGGGTTTTTGACGCATTTATATATATGTTGGAACCACAAGATTTTCATTTCATTTATTTATCCTTAAGGGCCCGGGTGGGGCATTACATAAGGGGGGGAGTAGACGAGAACTAAAATACACTTTGACACTTGAAAACGACAAAAATAGGAAAAGGAGAGAGTCAAAATAACAATAGTAAAAAACACAAAGTACTGATCTGGTTTAGTCGGGAATGGTTAGTGGTTGTGTAAAGAGACTTCCTGGCGAAACCTTATTGGGTCAGTGATGACTACAATGTCGTCGGGAAGGGAGTTCCAGATGGCTATTGCATGAGGGAAAAAGGAAGTGTTGAAGGCAAGCGTTTTGCCTGCAATACGCTTGATGCATTGACTGTGATTAAGGCGTGATGATACTCGGTCTGGAGGAGCAAGAGGGGTGGTATGGGAGTATGGATAGTTATAGTAGAACTTATGCAATAAACATAACCGAGAGTTCAATCTTCGACTGGACAGTAAGGGTAGTTCTAGAGTTTCTTTAAGTTGGGTTACACTGATGTCATGAGTATAAGCTGATGCGATGAATCGGGCTGCGCGGGTTTGTATGCGTTCCAGGTTATCAGAGAGGTAAGCTTGAGAAGGGTGCCAGATGGATGACGCATATTCAAGCTTTGGTCGAACGAATGTTATGTATGCAAGTTTCTTAAGGTGACTGGGCGCGGACTTTAAATTACGTTTCAGGTATCCAAGTGTGCGTGATGCCTCAGCTATAATATTATCGACATGTAGAACCCAAGAAAGCGTTGAGGTTAAATTCACTCCTAAGTACTTATATGAAGTTGAAGTATTAATTGGGGTGCCGCCGAGTGAATATAAATACGTATCTGTAGATTTTCTCCGGGTAAACGAAACTACTTTACACTTGTCCAGGTTCAGAGGCATAAGCCATTCTTCACACCAGGTATTAATTTGTGTTAGGTCGTCCTGCAATATGAGATGATCTGAATCATTTGTGAGTGGGCGATATATCACGCAATCATCGGCGAATAGCCTAATTTTCGAAAGGATGTCATGAGGAAGGTCGTTTATGTATATTAAGAATAGTAGTGGGGAGAGTCCTGCACCCTGGGGAACTCCTGATGCTACTTTACCAAGGGGTGATTTGTGATTATTAGCCAATGTGAACTGAACTCTTGAGGTGAGAAAATCCTGAATCCAAGCGATGATGGTCGAATCAATACCAAGAACTGAAAGCTTGGTGAGTAGATGACGATGCGGAACACGGTCGAAGGCCTTCGCGAAGTCGAGAAATATTACATCTGTTTGGTAATTATTATTCATGTTAACAAGTAGGTCATGAGTAAACTCTGCAAGTTGGGTTTCACACGAGAGACCTTTACGGAAACCGTGCTGGAGTGGGTAGAAAAAATTAATCGAGTTAAGGTGACTTATTATGTTCGAGCTGATTATATGCTCTAATAGTTTAGAGGGAACGCTTGTTAAAGAAATGGGGCGATAATTAGATACAAGTGATCGATCACCACTTTTATGGACGGGGATGATTTTTCCAATTTTCCAGTCTTTTGGGCTTTGGCGATCTGAGAGTGATTGGGAGAAAATTAGTGATAGATACTCACTTGAAACAATATTGGTGCTTTTAAGGATTTTGGTGCTGATGTTATCCATGCCAGCAGATGATGATAGTTTTAGTTTGTCAATTAAGGTACTTATTCCAGTAGATGAAATGACAATAGGTGGCATGATGGCACTAGACAATGAACAGGGAGATGCTACTTCGCCAAGGCCTCCGTCCGTGAAAATAGAAATGAAAAAGTCGTTTAAGGCTGTCGCGCTTTCGTTCTCAACGATGGAATCTTTATTGCTGTCTGTCAACGACAAAGATTGGGAGTGATATTTAGGTGACAGGAGTTGCCAGAATCGGGTTGGGTTAGAACGAAGAATGAAAGGCATGTCGGAAGATAAAAACTTTTCCTTGGCCCGTTTAATATTTTTTGCATATTCCTTTGAAAGTTGACTGTGTGTGTCCCAGGCTTGAACGTGACCAGTGCGCTTAGCTTTGCGATACATACGTTTCTTTTTGTTTCGTAGTATTTTTAGTGTCTTATCAAACCAGGGGTGGTTCCCGTCGGATTTAATAAGGACTGTTGGTATAAAAATAGAAAAGTAGAATAGATAGAAAAGTTACCTTTTATCTAGCAGATATTTGCACAACTTGCTATCTTTCTACAAGACCCCCATTAACGTCACGTCGCGCGTTTCTCACGGCTGCCGCTCGCGGCTGCAGGTCGGGGAATATTTTAATTTTTTGCCTCGCGATTCCGCGGCGGAATCGAAACATTTCAAAGGAAGGAGGTGTGCTTTCTTTCCTTGGTGAGACGGTGAACAATGTCAAAAGTAGAAGATGCCAACTCTTTCGACGTTAAAATCGTTTCTCAGCTCCTTTAAGACCTTCATCATCATCATCATTGGCTTGCAGAAGTGCAGCTGATCCGTCTGCTGGGCAGCCGAGCAGACGAGATAGAGTCCCTGGTTCAGGATGTGGCACGCAAGCACCCCAAGCTCACCTTGCAGCAAGTGCCGCGCCACATGCGGCGGCGGGCGGTGAGCCACGACAAGCGCCGCCTCCCCAAGCGCCTCAAGGACAAGCTAGCCAATGAGGTGAGCCGGTTCTTTTGCATGTCTTGATCGTAATCTTTATTTGCCAAAAAAGAGTGAACACAGGCTATGACATGATATGTCATAGCCTGTGTCAAAGAAGGCAGATATTAATTCACTCGGTCCTTACTTGGCAGTACTGTAAAATGATGAGCTAGCACCCAAACAAGAGTTTAAGATAATCTTGAAAACGGGGGATGAGCACTCGTTAGGTTTGAGAGCAAAAGAAGCAGAAGAAACGTGATCGGATAGGCTTCACTGCTTTGCACCAGTGTGCGTACGTCAGGCTTCTCTGGTTTGCATCAGCATGCTCAGAGAAGAAGCTGATGTGGTGGAGCATCGTGGTTAGCTAGGTGAGCTCAGAACCCCGGGTTAGCATGTACTTTACTTGTTATATTTAAACATTTCAAAAGTAGTGGGTGGGCACTTTTGTGACAATGGTCACATTCTCACTATGGTATGTGCAAAGCAAGAAAGCATTGTTAAATATACAATTTAGCCTTCATGCACTGGTTACACCAGTTGTCCATTTCTATCCTTCACTTAAAGGGCAATTCCGGTCAATACTTCTGAATTTGGGATTATGACTGTTTCAAGCTGAGGAAGTGCCCCTGAGATACAAGGCATTTTTTAGTGTTTGTTTTTTTCGATATTGTGTGTAGTTTTATAAGTATCACGGCTCAAAGTTTGGTTTCGAGCATCTACAGCAAAACCAAAACCATCTCCTAGAAGGATGGCAACACTGACCATCGGTCGTGCGGCCGCGACGTGACGTCATCATAGTGCTGCGGTCCGCAGTACAACCAATGAGCCACAGCTTTACCGTGATGTGATGTCGCAGGGGTGCTGCACCAGCGGTTCGTCGACTAAAAAGTAACCCGTTTGCTCTCCGCTAAAGAGCAGCCGGTCGCACCTTTAAAATCGGTTTTAGTGGAACATGCGGCTTCACTGTGATGTAATATTTTGGCTGTGATCATAATTCGTGCCACTAAAGCGATACCGGTCATTTATTTTGGTTTCCTTTTTGACCAGAGTTGCCCTCTAACCTTAAACTCTCGTTATAGACACTAGCAGCAGTAGCTCATTTCCTACCCCTGCCAGCTTTGATACGAACAAATACGTTCGGCCGACAAATATTCTGCTACCCGTTACCTCACTTAGCGGACATACTTCACCGACATGTAGTTTTGTTTGCCAGCAGCCTTAGGAACACGGAGTGTTTTCATTTCGAGCACTGCCGCTTGCAAAAGCGAAAGCATTCGTTTCACGGTACTTTTAATTATGGCTCCTGGAGCGCGTCTCTGGCTTGGTGCGTTCGGCGTCCCATTCCGCCTTTGTATCGAGAGCGTTCCTTAAGCGGGGCAACAAGCGATGTCGCAGAACCTGGAGTGTCACGTTGTCGGATGTCGCGGTCCCGGCGGTTGGGTGTAGAAGTTCCGGGAAAAAAAAAAAAGAGCACAAAAGAACGATTTGTTACAAAACAGGCGTCCGACACATCCACCACCGCCGCTGCGACACCGCCGAGATTGCGGCCAGCTATAACGCGACGATTGTACGACGTCTTCAAGGCGGACATCTAGGGACCACTTTCGAGGACGCAGTAAACGCACCAGTCTGAGACGCGTTCCGGACGGGATACCTTAATGCGACACGTCTTGCCGCGGGTTGCAGCCAGACCCTCCCAAGCGGAAGCGGCCGAGTCGCAAGCACCGCCGGCGTCCGCGCAACCTGCTAGCCGAGTACGCACGCCGCCAGCGGCGCTACGTGTGGCTGGAGACGCACGTGTGGCACGCCAAGCGCTTCAAGATGGCCGACCTGTGGGGCTACCGGGTGCCCCTCCACCCGTGCGACAAGGGCATCCGGGCGGCATACCGCGGCAGCGCACGCCACGTCCTGCTCCACGTGAGTGCCGATTATTGCTGTATTTTTCGACTGTGGTCCGGAAACCGTACGAGATTGAAAGTTGAAATTTCGCTTGGTGCGGACCGTGCGAGGATTGTTTTGTTTTTTAACCTAGATCGCTCGCTTTGACGAGATGCGACAAATTGTGTGAATGACTGAGTGTGCTAACAATGATTTATGCGTGATGTGATCTTTTTGATGAGCTAATAACATTTGTCAAGGTATGCCGTGCGTGAGAATTAGGTTTGTGTCGGCTAGACACCAGGCGTGGACTATCTCAGCGGAATCTTTTTTGTTTTGAAATTAAATTTGTCCCTGTGGAGCACACTATGTGTGTAGACTCTAGTCCGGAAGATCTGGTGATTCATTTATCAAAGAATCAATTGACTCCCTAATATTGTCATAATTAATATATTTATTCACCAAATAGATTATTTGGTTGGCCTAATTAGTCAATCTTAATTACTTTGTTGGTTTACTTTTTATCACTCTGGATTAATTGATTAGTTAGTTGACTCAATTGATCAACCTTGATTAATTTCAGTCAGTAGTTTTGATTGTAATTCTAAAATCGGATTGTAGAAATACATTTGGTTGTATTGTTGTGTTAAAAAGACTTGTGACTCTAATTGATATGCAGAATTATAATTACTTTAGTGGGAGTGATACAAGTTTTAATGTGTGGATTGAAGTGACTCTGCTTCATCCTGTTCACCTCTTGCTCTTCATTTGCACCTTGTAGGACTTGTCCTACTACAACTGTATAGAGCTCATTGGGGAGGTCGAACACCTCTTGGAGAAGCTGTCGCTTATCACAAGCTCGGATGCAGGTATGTCCATTTCCGTTTCTTTCTTCGGGTTGTCGACAGAGTTGAGGCATACCCACCCTTCTTCGATTTTTGTTTTCTGGACAAGGCGCCTAATTCTTTTATGAGGCTTACGAGTTTCTGCAATATCGGTAGTGTGAATACATCTGCAAGAAATATCCTCACAACTCATAGTCTGCATATGACTTTGAAGAGCATCTTTGTTGGCACAGAGCTCATCAGGTTCAAAAATAGGCACTTTTCTTTGGCATGGCATAGTAGAGCCGCAACTAAATGAAGTTGGTGGGCTGGATGCCATCACTCTCCCCAAGAAACATTTCGTAGCGCTTACGCACTGTTGGCTGACAGGACAAGCAATGCATGTGCCACGGATATAAGTGTATCCTAGAAGTCTATTCTTCCACCAAAAAGCAAAGTCATTTTAGCTTCTGATGTGAAATATTAAGTGTTCCGATTACGAATGATGCAGTACTAGACGAATGTCCCCCCCCTTTTTCTAGGACTGACCTTCAAGGCTAAGCTGTATGTTTCGGGTACCCAGGAAGGGTCGACTGTGCTCTACCACCGGGGCATGTACCCTTACGGAGCCATTGGTCCTGTAAGGTTCATGTGGCGCCCCCTCCAGCCCAGCAAATGCCAATCTGAAAGCCATTCTGAGAGCCAGTCGGACCGCCAAGCCGTGAAGCAAGTCGATAGTAAGCCCAGTGGTAAAGCTAGAGGTCAACTTCTAAAACAAGCCACACCAAGCAAGTGTAGAAGCCAAAAAGGAGATCAAGCTGGATTAGGGCTTGATAGCCAAATCAAAAGCCAAGACAGAAGTCGAGACGAAAGCCAACCCAAGGAGAATCGTCAGCTCTGGCTTTGGGTTCACCCTTCGATTCACGACGAGGTCTGTAAGGAGCTGACGGAGATCTTCGAGCTGCGGAAAGTCAACTCGGGCTGCGAAACGGAAGCAGACAGAACCGTATCAGACGGAACCTCGGTTGCGGGTGGAAGTAGCAAACACGTCGCAGCAAAAAAAGAAAAGTGCAAGCCCAAGCCTCAAGAAACTGTGGTAGCCTCGAAACCAGAAAGTTCAGGTCATAGTGACGATGGGATCCCACCAAAAACAAGGGACGAAACAGGGTCAAGCGAAGGGTTGCAGGCGGGAGAAGAAGTCGTCTGCAAGGCGGTGAAGGCAAAAAAGCGAAGGCAAAAACAGAGGGCGGAGGCGAAAGAAAAGGAGGTGTCTGAAGAAATGGCAAAGAAGAGCTTCGAGCGCGTCCCCGTCTACACGAACGAAGGTGTGTCGATGGCACTTCTTAAGGACAACCTGGTACGGTTCTCGCTTACGGGTCCGCTTGCCACTGCAGTCGTGTTTGATGCGCTGGTGCCTGTGTCGTCTGCTGAAGGTAGCAGCAGATGGGCGAATTTGTCAAAAGGTGAAGACGCCGCTGTGAGTAAGAGTGATCGGGACGCGACCTGGGAAACGGTGAGGCAAGGTGGCTTACAGACGGACGTCCTGCTTCCTCGTGGCTGCATCTTGGGGCAGACGGTGCGCGATCCCCGCGTCCTGCTGCCCGACCGGAAGACCAAGGTGACGGGGGACGGTGAGACCTCGGTGTTTTTTTTGTGGAGGTTTTTTCCCTTGTTTGAGAATGTCTTCAGAATTTTCTGATTTCTCATAGTCCACTGCTTTGCACCGGCATGCATGCATGAAGCTTCACTGCTTTGCATCGGTGTGTTAGGAGAAGCGGCTGACGTGTTTGAGCATATCGGTTTTCGGTTATAATTATAGTTTGACCCCTCATTTTAGAAGACAGTGCTTCTGATGAAAATCTCAGGCTGGAACTCAAATAAATGAAGTAGCCGTTGCTTCCCTTGCCACATTACATTATGGCTTACTGTGTTCGTCTCATCGAGGTCTTTTGCTTCTTAATACAGTTACGTGAAATCTTTGTGTAGTAACAGTTCCTTTTTTTGGGTATGCTTTCTAGGAAAAATACAAGTTGCACTTTCGTTTTAAGCGTCCATGCTCAATTTTTATTAAATATAGCATATTAGTATTCGGAACATTCCAATTTGATTTGCAGTCAAATTGTATTGTTTATGTTGGATTCAGAGTCTAAAATTAGATATTCAAACATCTCTAATATCCAACTAAAACAACCCGAGAAAACCCGGGGATTTTATGTGATAACTGTGTTAGCCCTCAGTGGACGTACCAACAGAACAGGACCATACTACAGAGCTAACGTAATGATTTCCGGAAAGAAAGGTTGCATGCATTTCGGCCGCTGCGGTATGGTGGGGCATAGACTCGGACATCGTCGGTCCCGATGCGACCTTATTGCTGGCGATCATTTGATATGCACAAAAATTCGGGAAAGCATCACTTAAAAGGTCTGCGTCTACCATAAAATACCGAGTGCATGCCCATTCCACAGTAAGCACCCTCCCCTCAATTTTGTAACATTCGGAGAATACCCTGAGGACATATCTTTACACATTGTTGAACTGAGGAGCGCCCATTCCCCAGTTTTACACAATTATCTCCAAACGTTTAGTGGGCGCTTGCTCAAGATTTTACGGTTGCATCTTTCTAGCTCAATTTTGCACAAAAACACCGACGTCGTGCATTGTACGAAAATAGGCAAATTCGACAAGCGCCCAAACAACTTCAACTCGTTGCGGCAAAACACTCGCTTAACCTGTTGTCTGCTTTCTTACTCCACTCTTCTGTCGCTCTCTTTCTCGTTCCTTCTCTCGGGGCCGTCGTCAGCGCTCGCGATTTGTCGCATCCCGCTTCCTCCTTTACCCCCCTGCCGCACCGTTTCAGGCGGTCCCGTCGTCGACGTACGCAAGAGCGGCCACGTCGGCGTTGCGAGTCCCCCTCCCGCATCCGCAAGCGACTCGGCGATCTGGGACCCGGCCTCCAGGGACGAGGCGTCCCTCAACAAGATGCCGGAGTGGAAACTCAACCAGCTCCGATCTCGGAACCCGATCCCCGGCAAGTGAACGCAGTCGCCCCGCCTACCTCGCTCCGGTGGTCACCGACAAGATGAGCATGGCGGGGAGGAGCTTCCGTTGTCCCGCCTCCATCGCGAGCTTCCCACTTCCGACGACGCTTCGACGTCTCGTGCACCCTTAGCGTGCGCACGCGGCCAAAGCGACGGCAGAAGGCACGGCGCTGGTGGTGGGGGCCGGGCATTCAAAAGACACGCCCTGCGTTTCTCATTTCGTCGGCAACTACATACTTCGTTTCACCTTGCAATGGACCGCAGAAGACGCGAAGCCATTGGGGCCAATGCGGAGGGCAAGTTCGTCTGCTTCTTTTGCAGGGGTTGTGGTGACGTCGGAACGTCATGCTTCAATCGGTTCTGATTGAAGGATGGTGGGTAGACCTCAGGGCAGCTTGCTTTGAGGTCTACCCACTATCCTTCCAAGCAACCAATCGAAGCTCGGCATTCTGACGTTGTCACAACCCTCTAAAAAAAAAGCAGACGAACTTGCGCTCTGCATACAACGTTGTGGGAGTCTCATGCGACCTTTGGAAGGGGGTTGACATTGCCGCTCGAAGCCCTGCGGGGCACGACGCGTTCCCCGCGACCGGCTATCCGGGACGGCTCGTAGCGTCTGCTTGCGGTCCTTTGCTAGGTGCAACGGAGTGTAGAGGCGTCTCTCGTGAGAGTAGACGTCATTGCGCAGCTGGCGTCTTGGCGAACGGTGCGGCTAACCGGGACAACTCGGGCGCAGGTGCACCTCTTGACATTGGAGAGGAGGAATCCAGGATCCCCATCCTGCTGGTGAGGAAAGAAGGCTCGAGGAGCAATCTGGGTACGTCGTGATGTCGACGAGGACCCTTCTAGTCTCGTCCCTAAAGCTGCGGTTGTGCCGATTGTGTACAAAAGACGCCGTGTTCGCTGCAGGCACAACGACGGAAATATCTGCGGGCAAGCCTAGAGCACGTTCGAAGCATTTTTGCTTCATACAGTGGAATCTCGTTAAATTTGATCCCGATGGGGACCAAACTTTGTTTGAATAATGCAAAGTTTGAATTGTCGGCAGCTTCCTTCCTAGAAACACATAGAATGAGACCTGCATGTTAGTTTGAATTTTGCGCGCGTTTGAATTTAGAGAGTTTGAATTAACGAGATTCCACTATACGTATGTATGCTTGGAACATGTCTGCAGACAGTTTCTGTACGACCAATGTCATGGGACCGTCGTACATGGAAGAAACGCGCCTCGGACGGTGTCTGCCCAGACCGTCGTACAAGACGGTCTGCACAGACTGTCTCGTACGACGTACTAAGTGCACAATTGCGGCCTAAGGGTTCTTGACGTTTACAGGAAAAAACTCCCTCATCGGTACTTCAAATGCCGGTTCCAGTATTATAGAACAAGCGTGCCTCAACATTGCTTCACCGTACCGACGCGTTTGTTACGGCTACCTAGAGATGTCTTAGCCTGGAAAAAAAAACGGAAAAGAAAACACCGTCTTTAGGATTTTCTTTCTTTAGTTAACTAAATGCAGGGAAAAAACCCTTCAGAAATTGCCAAGCACGTTTTCTCGGTTTGGTTTTGAGGACACGGCGATGTAAATCGTTAAAATAGAAACCAGCATTTGCAACGTCGGTTGTTTTGGAGAGCAATGTTTTGGCGTGTCAAGCTGGCAACTTCCCGGGACAGCTTCGAGGTGGATAATTTGCAGTTGAGCATTTCGTGCATTCCAAAATCCAACCAGTTCGGGAGCCCTGCAAGGTATTGCATTGCTTTCCTAATGCCACACACCTTACGAGGCATCTACTATCTTCAGGGGTGGAAGCGTTGCGTTTTCCCAATTGCGCCATTGTGTGTCAATCCACTTTCGCTGCGCCGTTCTACTCCCAAGCGCACATGTTGCGCCAAAACTAGCCGAAAAAGATTTTTGTTTCAGCTATATTTATTGGAGTATACTTTTCTGTATTGGCCCCAGTAGTTTATTGTGTCGTGTTCATTTAGGAAATTCTGAACCGATAGGGACTTTTAGCAAACCGTCACCGTGTTCCGAGTACCACACACTACCGAAGCCTTTGAAGTATGCTTTTAAGTGCGCGCTCGAGTGATACCGTGACCGCGCTTAAAAACTTGCTTCAAAGGCTCCGGTATGTGCAGTACGCAGAACATGGGAACAGTTTGATAAAGTCTGTATTGTTATGAAACCACCTTACTGATATAGTGGTGGTTTCAACGGCGTGTAACTCTGGTCTCCGGAAATGGGACATGCATAGGTCGCTTTGTCAGAGTACTCATCAGTACTTCGACAAACGACAAAACGATGCCTTGAAACATGGTTTCGTCTCTTACTTACATTTTTCTTTTTTCTTTTTTTTTTTGCACGGTGGCATTGTGCATGGCCGCGTGTATTCGAAATACTACACACGTATTACATCGCGTATACCGTAAAGTTTTGTACGAATACCTGCCCCCGAGAAATAACCCATCCCGTTTTTTTTTATCACATCTACTGCGTGATTTGCGGTATCGATGCGTGACAAGCGTGTTTGTCGCGGGTTCCCTCGTGCTTATTGCAAGTAACGTGATACACGAATCTGCAACATCCACAATATGTGGGGTATCCGTTCCCATGACATGCAAATTCCTAACTCGCTACCGCTTTTTTTTTTTTTTGTCTTATTTTTGCACGCAATATCGGTTCCCGTGACACCCGAGTTTTTAGCTGCCGGGTTCTTGGGTGTATATCGCACTGTGAAGTGCGAATGTGCTGCGTCCGCATTCTACTGCCGTTACCCATGACAGAAGAGTTCACAGCGAATTCTGGCGTACTTATTGCACGCACGAGTTGCCATGTGTGCGATGTGTATCATTAATGAAATTAATGAAAAGACTGTGAATGTGCAGGCGAACTATATAAACATACCTAAGCGCCTGGTGGCATGTGCTCACCTATCATCTAATCTCCGGGGAAAGCGGTAACTACTCTACAAAATTAAACGAATATTTAGCATAATATTTTCTTTCCTTTTTTCGTGTTTGGTGTGTGTGATTTTGCTGAGACCGCTTTCACGCTTTTCATTCGTGTCGTAAACGTAACATATGAAATCGGTAATTGGTTGCCTCAATCATCTGTAGACTTTGTTGAAAATGACGTACGCCACAAACATCATTTACAAGAAAGTCTGCAGATAGCCGAGGCAACCAATTATCGCTTTTATATGTTATGTTTACAACACAAATGAATGCGAAAGCGCCTGTATTCATTACTAATACAGGTACTTGCACACAAACAGCAAGCCGGCAGGAGGACGAGGAGAACAGTGGGGACGTCCTGCTGAGCCAAGCAAATTCTTAACCGTTGTGCTAGAACGCATCCAAACAATTGACTTGTGAGGGAAACCTTTCATTTTATGGCATTACTTGCTAGTTTTGTCAGTCACTTCTTATTTTTATTAAACTCCTAAACAAGGTTTTCTTTTTTTTAATCTGTCATGGATGTTCTGGTATGGGTTAATTAAGCGCGTATGTGTGAGCAGGGATGGTGTAGGTGGTATCGTGAAGTTTTCAATATTTTGCACCTTTACTTTTTTCAGCTATAGTAGAATTGTACTGCGTTGAGTATTGGAATATTTTTTGTTTGCTAAAGAAGGACTTGGAATATTTGTATTTTCTAATAATGGTAACTGTGGTCAGTATTAGACATTACTTCATACCATATTATTGCATCTTGAAATGGTTTTGTTTTCAACTTATGGAACGTACGGTTGGCAGGTCTGGTGCTTGCTTGGTATTTTACGGTAGTTCAGTTCTAGCGCAAACTACTGGGGTGTGTATTAGCAAGTGCGAGTGGCCTAGTGACGAAATATACGTGAAGAATGACAACCGTGATCGCATTCACGTCAGTCACTCTAATTTTTTTCTGAAGGCTGCGTCGACGAAGCGTTTGGTTCGCGGACAAAGCGTTTCTGCAGTGCATCTGCCGAGGTAGCTGAAGGTCGACTCGCATTTTTTGTTGGGTCGCAGCGTCTTTCTTCCTCGGTGCAGGCAGTCCTGGTGCACATGCCGGTACCGCTGTTGAAGCATAATGCTCAGAAAACGAATGTGTTCACTGGTGCCAACCTTTCGATTGTTCCCCTAAAATTTCCAACTTTTCATATAAACAAAATCACTTTTTTCCGGCCATTCAAAACTTTCGTCAATTTCCCCGATATAGTCGTATCGTTCTTTGTTATAAAAAATTGTAGAGCCATCCACTTTAGGTGAAGATGGAGGACCAGCGAAGCTGTTATCTTTATGACAACTATACGACATCTATACGATTTACACATGATTGCAATGAAGACACGTACACTACTTCATTGTTTAATTGTCTTTATTTAATTCTTAGTGGCTAAAGTGATCATTGCCTTATGGTCACTTATGGGCAAGCTCCAGACCCAATTTTTCGAGGCACACCTCGAGGACAGTTTTTTCCGACTGAGCCCAAGTCTCTTTATCAGCATTGTGGAAGCGAAAGAAAAGAAGGTAAGATTGGTGCGTTCTGCCCTCAGCCTCGTCTCAGTGCACTCTTAGCTGAGAAAAGTAGGTGACCGTAGATGATAACAAGTGATCAGGACCTCGCTATCTAATAATGCCAAGGAAGGCTGACCCACGCGGGTTGCCCCCTCTTTTTATTTATACTTGCCACGACCAATCGGAACGAAGGAGCGCCTTTTAAATGAGAGCTTTTCTTTTAACATCCGTGGACACACCTTTTTCTAGATCCTAGCACATGACAGCTTCGCTGTAAAAGGGTTCTCTGGTGCATTCGGAACGTAGTAAATAAGAGGAAGAGTGAGTAGGAGCTGTGCAACTTTTGTCGGCTGCTTTGCAGGCTTCGGCAGCGGCTGGGACGTCGTGCTGCCTTCTCACTGGGCGAGGCCGTTCTGGATAGCGCTGGTCTACCGGGGAGCACGGGCGGCCGGCCTGCGGGAGCTGCGTAGCCTCTCCTTGGAGACGGGCTACCCCTGCTTCCCGTTCGACCACCCGGACACGAGGGCTACCCAGGAGTACGAAGAAGCGAACAGACGCGAGCTCATGGCCAAGCACCTCAGGTGAGGGGCCTCTTACGGCATTGACCTGATGGCGTGCTCGCCCTCTTTACGGACCGCACAGATCCGCTTGTGCATACTTGACAATTCCTTACACCACCCCTTTCCAGGGGGAATGTTAACCCTTTGTTGACGAGTGTTGCCTACAAGCAACAAACCACATCATTTCAGTTTTGTTACGTTTTTTGTAATTTAGTCTGGCAAGTCATGAAGATCCAGAGCTATTTATACTAAGAGACAGGGTGGCCAGTTCTGCTTATTATAAGCGGATTTGGGCTTCTTTTTTCACTGAGTCGCTGGTAGATTTTTCCAGTCGCTTGTCGCGTTTTTGGGCTTATTCGCGTCTTTCCTGGAAATATTATTATTTTAGTGCTCATCGTGCTCACTGACAGTGCATTTGTCGTCAAAAACGCGAAAAACAGCATGACCGTTTGGCGCAGCGGTTAGGTGGTGCAAGCTACCGTCCGTCACAAAGTACAAAACTATTACTATCCATTCACAAATGTTTTGGCACCTTGCCCCTCTTGCCAGTCGGCAGTTACGGTCGTCGTGTCTAGTTGCCATCGTTGTATTTTGCGCAAAATGGCTTCGAAGTGGTTGAAGTATGGCAAACGATATTGTAAAGAGTGGGAAAAGGAAACACAGCTTAAGGACTGGCTAAAACCAGTCACAGGAGACAATAAAAAAGCAGTGTGCAAGTGCGAGATCTGCGCTCATCATGCCGACCTCGTTCGGCACATGGCAACAGAAAAACACGTGAGGAACTCTCGGCCACTTTCCTGTGCATGTTTGACTACCATGGGCTTCACCTAGTTGTCGCCTCCAAGAACGATACCAGAACTGGAGCTCAAGCTGGCTTGTTACTCAGCGTGCCATGCCACTATCCGCTCTGTGGATAGTGGCATGTCACGCTGAGTATTCACCTTCGTATTTGAGCAAGTTCTCTTTCTCATTTTATTGTTAATAAACTATTTTCAAGAATGTGTACATTTATTGAACTTCCGCTTGTTTTGGGCTTCTTCACGAAGGTCACACCGCTTTTTTTTGGGCTTGGTTGGGGACGACTATCTGCTTGTTCACTCGGCCGCATCTGGCCACCCTGCTAAGAGAGTTTGGCACTCTTAAGGAGATTTTGACAGCCTGGGCAAGCACAGCAGCATAATCTGACAACCGGGGGATGACTACTTCCGTTTGCCATTTTGTGGCTTCGATTTCTAGGAACTCTATGCGACTTCTCAGGAATAAACAAGACAAACAAGTAACGCCATTTTGTGTGATCGCAAAATCTGCTTGTTTTAGCGGGCAATGAGCTCCACCCATTGGCCAAACTCTGTCAGTATAAACGGCTCTATTGAAGATCAAAACTACAGTGCCATCTAGTGAAAAGATATATGCCAATAGTTGACGAGAAAAAAGGAGTTTGGCAAGAAAAATATAGATAAGTGTTTCTCTCTTGCCGCTAATATTTTACGATAGGTGACCGTCTTACTTGAGTCTGTCGTATGCGCAGATGTTATTGACGTTCATAGTGATTCATAGAGGTTACGCAAGGGAGTGACCTTCAGACTTTTGCCTGGTGTTGCCCACTGGCAACAAAGCTATAACTTGCAAGTTTGCCTTACGATTCATTTTTATTTCTGCTCTTTTTTTATTTCATCTGGTTAAACATAAACATCTTTGAAAAATAAATGTTTCAAAGGAGCTGTGCAACAGTTTCAGTGCTTTGCTTAAATAATTTGGGAGTTGGTGTCTCGACCTTTCTGAAGTAAAGAACAAAAACCGCTTTTGCCTGCATGTCCTAGTTTTTATATTAAAAATGGACAAAGATTGAGGTTTTCGGCACCTCACAACTCCTTCACCATCTTCCGAGTCGCGCGCGCTGTGACGTCAATGGGGGTTGTGCGGGGTTCCGGTGGAGCTCTCTCTCTCTAGAGCCATCAGTGAGCAGCGAGAACTCATCCGCTCGCGACCGCGTGACCACGTGCTGGCGGGCGCAGCGTGGTGAAAGGAGGAAAGTCTCATCCGGGTCCGGCCATCCCCGTCCGGCGCTGTCTCCCTCCGGCTTCTGGCGGCTCTTCGCGGTCAGATAGAGCAGACGGTTTGGTGGACCTAGGATAGATGGCGCCACTAAAACTCCGTGTAATAAAAGTTTTGTTGATGATACCAGGTTTTGAACACATTTATATTTATGTTGGAACAACAAGATTTATAGAAGTTGTCTTTTATCAAGCAGGTATTCGCACAACTTGCTATCTTTCTACAAGGCACCCCATTGACACCATGCCATGCGTTTCTCATGGCCGCCGCTCGCGGGTGCAGGTCAAGGGATATTTTAATTTTTGCCTCACAATTACACGGCGGAATTGAAACATTTCGAAGGAAGGTGTGTTTTCTGTCCCTTGTGACAAGATGAACAACGTCCAAAGTAGAAGATGCCAATTCTTTCAACGTTAAAATCGTTGCACAGCTCCTTTAAGCAATTTTTGTAAAATCTCGTCAATAAAGGGTTGACGAGAAACTTGAAGTAGCGGACGTAGTGGCGTGTTTCCATAGGTTTGTCTCTCTCCCTGGCACCAGGTACCCCCCAGACAAGCGGCCCTCATTCCAGAAACTTGGTGTCCCTTGCCCTTTCTTCTTTCCATGGAAGGAGCTCGTCCATCAGTGGGCGGCAGCCGTCAACGCGGCTCACTCAGGCGACGGGCAAGGCACGGGAAAGGAGAGACCGTTCTTTGTGCTCAGGAGCCGCAAGGTCACGCGGAGGCTGGCCGCCCTCTTGACTGAGGAAAACAAGGAGAGGAAGAGGCCGCACGGCCACGCCCCGACGCTCGAAGCGATTCGCGGGATTCGTTCGGCCGCCACCGAAACCGGCGTCGACCTCTCGCGGGCGCTTGCGTGCGTTTGGGTCTCGTGCCGTTCGAAGGGCGTTCCGAATCGGTTCGACTCCATCTGCATCCCGAAAGCAGACGACCTCTCGACCGGGTCACCTTCCGACGGTTCGACAGGGCCGTGTGAAAGCTTGCACAAGGTGCCGCGGAAGCGGAAAGGCGCGGAGAAAAAAGGCGCCAAACGAAAAAAGAAGGTTGCGAGGCCGACCGTCGAGGAGTTGCTGGCAAGACCCGCGGCAGGGGACGTCGTGAACTGCTGTTCGAGGCGGCTGATTGGCTGCATGGTCGGCGGGGACTACTGTTTCTCGGAGGCCGCGGGGAGGGGCGTCGGGTACGTCTCTGTGCTCGGACTCCTGGAGTTCGTGGAAGAGTCCGCGAGGCGCGGAACGAAGCCGCTGGTTCTGTTGCGGCACCAACATTCGGTGCAGTACAGGTTTGCCAGCTTGTGGGTGTTGACGGACTGCTAGCAAAGATGGCGGCGGCTACAATCTGCTTCCTCTTGCCGAGCGCAAGGCTACGAGCAAAAACTCTGGCGTCCGAAGCGTGGCCACCTTCAAATAGTGCTACGCTTGCTCGTATAGCCTTCATGGCAGATCTAGGGGGCAACAGGTGGAATGTTTTTTCTTTGTATCGTATAAGTGTACAGCTCTACAGAAAAGAGAAGTAAAACAGGCTGTCGACGACGTGAATTGTTGCTTCCCATTTATTAGTTCTCGAAAACCAAAGAAACAGCACAACGACAAATGCAAACGAAGGAGGGAAACAAAAATTAATACTGGATTGAGTTGGTGCCCCGATTATACCAATATAATTTCTGGAATTCAGTTAACAGGGGCAAGAGGAATAGAAGAGCGAAATATTTAACACTTTATTTCTAGACTATAATAGGACTATCCCACGATCACTATGAGCCAAGACTGTACAGTTTGTGCTCTTCTCCCTCTCTCTCTAGAGTAGCCCAAACAATGACTCCTTTGGGCACCTCCTAAACGAAACTTGACCTGTACACTGTACCCGCCCCACCAGAGCGTGAAAGCCAAGCGGTATACCGGGGACACTGCGCTCCCGTGTAGCCCCATGCAACCTCGCCCAGAACGTCTGCTCCTGCACCGACTTCGTATTGCTGTAGCTACGAATGCGCGATGTGACAGATTGAGCAGGTTGCCGCCAATACCAGTTAAAACTGCTTCATTTCGATACGGAAGCTGAAGAATGAGGCATCGGTATGATGAGCTGTGCCTTTCACTTTTAGCCTGTTGGCAACCACACGATGACTATAAGGGGGCGTTTGTTGGATGCCGCGTTTCAGGTCGGCGGTTCGCAGCGAGTGTTGAAACCAGCTCCCATCCGTCCTCCAAGAACAAGTACCTGGATTGGGTGGAACGTACATTTGTGCATATCCAATGTGTGTTCCACCCGGTGGGGATCATTGTCTTTGGAATGAAATACGTGGAAGCTAAGTTCCGAGCACGTGGTAAGGGACTTTTCTCGAATCGTTCTCAGGATAAGCGCAACAAGGGTGGAATGTTTCGCCGACATCGACGCGGCATCCTTTTGTGCTCGTACATCTTCGACGCCCCTCGAATTAAGCTTCTGCGTTTATGAAATAAAACTTAAATAAAGAAAAACCCAGCAATTTCAGATTTCTCGACAAGCCGTAGTCTCAAAAAAAAAAAAAAAGAGCCGAGAAGCGTTGCGACTGAGCTTGCACGAGGCAGACGAGATGGCGGAGTCCCCTTTTAGAGATACTCGCGTGAAATAAATATAAAAGACCGGACTCGTGCAGTTGCCGACAGAGCGAGAACGGCAGGATGCGTCCTTCGAATGCCCGGTCCTTGGTATGTGCTCCGTGCCTTCCGTAACACTTTGGCTACATGCGCGCGCGCGCACTCGATTGCACGAGACGTTGAAGTTCGCGCTGGAGGCGGGACGACTGAAGCTCCCCCCTGCCGTCCTTGCTTTGTCGCCAACTACGGTCGGAACACTTTAAAGCTACGTGCGACTCTGTGTGAGCCTGCGCTCCTCGGCCCACCCCGGCTTCGTTCCGAGCCCCTCGCTTCGACCGATGGCGGGAGGCAGACGGTCTCGACGAACGGGGTGGTGCGACAGGGTGCGGCTCGTGAACGGGGTGTCTATCGTTTGTCGTTGCCACGTGGGGCCGCCAGACGAGACGTTGGGGAGGGAAGAAACGTGGTAAATGGGGGGGGGGGGGGGGGGGGGATGGTGGAAGTGGACAACAGGTGCCTTCGTTCGCGCCGCCGGCCAACCTAAGATTGACTCCTATTCCGCCAATGGTGGAAGCCTCGACCCAATGAAGGCACCGGCGTCTTTCATCTCCTGCAAAAAGAAAAGGAAATTGTGTGGCTTTGACATACGTTGGAGGAGCGACACTCGCTATCGAAATGATGTGGCGTACGGCGAAGGAATTCTGATTGTATAAAGGATTTTTCTTCTTCATTCATGCACCTCTCCTTTGGGGGCAATGCATCGTGTTCTCCGAAATGCCGCTGTGCATACTACTATCTGACCATGCCATTGGGGGTGGAGAATATGAATTGAGATGATTTAAATTGCAATTTAAATTGGAGCAGGAACCGTTTTCATCAATGATACGCTACTGCCCGGAGATTTGAAATGAAACTGGGGAGGCTGGGGGAGAGAAAAAAAAAAAGAATGTACCTCATCGCACGAGGAATGTCCCAGTCCCCTGTACTGCTTGAACTGCACATCCTTGACGAAGGTCTTGAGGAGGTTCGAGGTCAAAGAACCCCACCTTAGGGGCACCAAATCGTCACTCTCTCCGTGGCACAGGAGCACGGGCGTGTCCTTATTGCCAATGGCCGCCTGCGTGGACGCGGCAGACGCATCAAATGACCATTGCGTTCGACCCGATCGGCGCTCCGACAGACGCACTGCTGCAAGTATGCCTCTTGGTCACACCTTTTTGTGTATCTACCCATTTGCACACTTTTCCGAAGAAGACCCTCGAGCTGTTTTTAAGCAGTCCATAAAAAATTAGAGGTGCTCCTTTGATCTACTGCCCAGACGTCCCACTAGCAGAATGCGTTCGGAATATACAAGGTGTTTCAGGTAACTCGTGCCAAGACTTAAGAAAAGCAGGCGCATACTATACATGATGAATCAATGCAGTATTGTTCCAAGTCCCATTGAGCAAATCAAGATATTTCTTGCAATGTGCCAAACTGTCTCATGAAAGCAGATAAATTAGGTAACCTTTTAAATATTAATTTGTGTGCAAACCCCCTAATACAAAAGTTGCAAAGTGTTTTGGGGAACATCCCATCAAGCCGTTTCCATAAAGGTAGTCTTTGTGCAGCAAGCTTAATTTTGAGCTCAATCTCGAAAATCTTGCGCGAGTTCTTGCAAACTATTTTACGTGACTACCCGCTAGCAAACTGCTACGTTAATAACATTGGTCACATGCAACTTTCCAAAATCTCGCACGCTTTCTTTAAAGCTTCGAAAAATTAGACACACGAAGCCTACATTGGTGAAAGCGACAAGATAGGATGTTTCTTAACACGTGTAAACGTATATACAAATCTGGCCAGCTTGATGTCAAAGTGTTGAGTCGCGTCACGTAATTTGACGTGCCATCTGGTCACATTACACAACTTGACAACCAGACTTCCTATATCTAAAGTGATGCCACGTGACACCACGACTTCGCGCCAAGCGACACCACGCCTTCGCACCACATGAACTGGCTTGGTCCAACACATGTGACAAGTCAACTTTGCTCCTGTTAAAATAATTCAGAAATGATGAACCTGTGAAACCTCTTGTCGGGCATTCAAACACTTCAGCTTAGTATGTACTCGAATCTTGGGTCCGCAAAAATCTTCTGTTGTCTCTAAAGCCAGAGTCACCGCAAGGTCCATGCTTCGAATGCAAAATGGCAATGAGTTCAAGGAGAAACTTGGCACGTGGCATTCGAACCATGGATATTACAGCGACTCGTGTTTGCAGACTGTCTTTTGCATGATGTATGACCAGTGTGACCCCAGCTTAAGTTTTCCGGGCTGCGACAACCGACCCGAAAAGAAGCTTTTGTGACGAGATGCGATAATGCGGAGTGGGGCTAGAGACTGACGTTTGGAAAGTGCTTGAACAGGGGAAGCCAACAGCTGAGGCCCAGAATGCCTCCGAGGGTCTTGGGGTAGCGCAGACCGGAGTACAGGGCCAGGGCTCCCCCCATGCTGAAGCCACCGATGAGGATGCGCTCCGTAGGGATGCCCGCCTTCTCTTCCTCCGCAATGAGTCTATGAACTGGGAACAAGAGAAGAAACAATGTATTGAAAACGACAGTCAAAAGCCTTCATAGACACGCTCCACAGCATCCGAGGTTTAAGAAAAAAATCATTCAACCAATATAGTTCTAAGACCCCTATAAGAAGTTCTAATATTTGAGGCGGGTGCGTACTAATTCGATGAACTCTTTAGAGCCTTCTATGAGAGTGTCATGTTTGGTCACTATGCTCTATTTCATGCAACCTACATTTCTACATGCAACCCTCTTGCTTTTCTGCTCTCGGGTCTAACAGTGGCTGCCCCCCATTTTTTCTCGTGACCATCCAACTTCTGCGTGGGCGCATGGTCGGTATTTTGTAGTAGCGTACAACACGTTACTGGCATGTGCGCGTGGCTTTATATGGCGTCTCGTTTGCCCGAGAGTGTGCGGAAATGAAGTGCAAGATCTAGTCTCAAGTGCTCTTGCCAGCAATTTTGACAATGTTTACACTGCATGAAAGGGGTGGGGTATAGGTGCAGACAACTTTTTGGTGGAGTTGTGAAGGTACTTCTGGAGCTGCTTCAACGGCTTTAAACCGCAGCTGCGTCGTGGTGCCTATCTCTGTACTTCCAAGGCAAAGATGCAAAAACGGACGTGGACGTCTGTGCTGCACCCAAATTTCACAGCAACCGAAGCAAGTGTAAAGAAGCTGTGAAATTGTGTGGGAAAAATCGTCTAGGCGGAGAAAAGCTTGGATTTTAGAAGACAATCCTAGAATGTGCCAGGAATCGGAAAGCACTCACTCCCTTCTGCCGCAGTCTTGATTCCGTTCTCGTCTTCCATCCCGTTTGGGTCGAGGGACAGGAGATCGAACCACGCAGGCATCCGCATGCCTCCGTTGAGCGTGACTGGAATTGTTGGCCTGGCGAGGAGGTTGGAAGCGATCAATCAGCTGAGGCATTGTTGCAATTTGATCAAAGTGTTAAACTATGTAGATAAGCCTCACAGTTTAAAAAATGAGGTTCGTGTAAATGCTTCTTAAAAAAAAACACTAAACCTAAAAAAAAAAAAAAGAAATTATTTAGTTAGGACAGGCATGTCTCAAAATCATTACTCCGTAGTCCAAGGGCGAAACATGAATTTTCTTTTACTGTATGGCTGGGGTGACAGCAGCAAATGTGCAAAGTAGTTTTGCCTGGGTTTTCATCTTGGAACCAAGAAATAATCGATGCAATTGCTTTCTTGAAATGCACTTAAAGCACATTCATTTTAATTAAATAAAATTAAATAGAACATTTAAAAAAAAAATATTGTAAAGCCCCTAATGTTTGTGAGCCCCGAACGCTCGCAAACTTCGCAACTCGGAAAATTCACAAACTTTAGGAGGCGCAAATATTTCTATTGTCTCGAGAGGCAATTCGAGCCTTTAAAAATGACGAAAGTTGATGGCTGCGAACATGACCCCGCTCCCGAATTCACGAAAATAAAAGGTTTTAGAGTGTAGGTAAAATATATAGAGGTAGCAGTACAATCGGCAAAGTTTGGACCAAAAGTTGCAGCCCTATGCTTGGATAGGTCAACACAAGTGCATGTCATCATCATTGACGATGATGATGATATGAGATGATTGGATTGGATCTGAAACCGGAGATTGCGTCAATTCCACTTACGCTGTGGGACAGACGTATTTGACGTGGGGCATCCTTATGGCTTCGAACATGGATGACCAGCCGCACCTACAACAAAGTAAGAAAAGCATGCTGGAGCATACCAGGTGCTTCGGCGGACTTTAGAATATTTCTACCAATAGGGTGGCTGAGAAAAAAAAAAAAAAAAACTTTTCGAGAAGCAACATCCAGCCACAACATGCGTCAAGAATCGGAAAAAAAAAATTTAGCTAAATAATTAACTAAAGCATTGCGAAAACGCCGATGATATTCTTATTTGCGTTTTCACATGGCCAGCCTTGTACCTGCTACACGAGTGCTGACTTTAGCCAGTGTTGGGTACAGTACATCTAAAAAGTTCTTGAAGTACAAAGTAAACGAGAGGTTATGTACTTCAAGTAAAGTACACCGGAAGCAATGTACTTGGAAGTAAAGTACTATAAATACAACATACTTTCACAGTACAAGTACTTTTAACACAATCTTTCATGATGCACTTTAACTGCTTATTTTAGAACTGGTATGCATAGCCCCAGGGGTAATGGGGGTGTATCAGCTATTTTTCGAAATGGCAGCGAATATTGTATGCAGTCGAGTGGTCACAGGGTACTAGTTCTACTCCCGCTGACTAACAATTTAACACAATCAACTTGTAGGGCACTTATTTGTATTGGTCTTACAGCCGCCATTACTTCACTCAGAGGAATGACCAGGTGACTTCTCAAAAGATGATAACTCGTTTTCACACAACGAGATGCCTTTTTTCCTTCAAATTTGGGGAATGTACTTTAAAGTTGGGAGTTGTACTTTCCAAAGAAAATACTAGAAAAAATATTTTAAGTAAGGTACAAGTACATACTCAGAGAATGTACTCCAAGTACTAGTTCCCTAAACCTGCTTGAAGTAGTTCTTTAAGTACAATGTACTTAACTCTTTCCTGACCACGTCCTTAGGCCATGGATCACCGTTAATTGATGGTTCCCAAGCGCTGCCAAGAAATTAAATTTGGTGCGGAGAATTATGTTCCACAATCTCGTTAACCGAACAACTGTAGTTTTAATTTCAACGTAGGTTTGAGCTTCATTATAAGCTGGCAGGCTGTCGAAAATAGTATTGGGAAAGGTGGTTGCACATGCATAACACGGCTAACTGCTTGCATCAGTCCTCGTAACAAAGATGGCATCTTTTAGACAATTCAACTGTTTTGTAACATATTTTTTAGACGTCAAGAGCTCTGGGGACACTTTAAATGATGTTATAGGCATCACTTAACAAATGGTTGACGCTAAGCATCACTAAAATTTCCAATGCTGTCTTGAGCCGGCATTCACCTTTTATGTTACCAACAAGGCGGACAAAAATGCTTAATATGAAGGAACTGGAATGAAGGCTTTGGGGACAAAACAAAGGTAGAACACAAAGAAAGCTTTCTGCTGGGGATGTGAGGTGCACTATCTGTGTTTCACCAATATAAGCATTCCCTCATTGAAGAGCACACATGTTACGGAGGCAAACTCTCCAAAGAACCAAAAATGGATATTGTCAGTTATGGTAAACTAACTGTCAGAAGTAATAGCCGTGGGTGCGGGGCACATTTTGTATATTCAGAATTTTCCTTCTATTTGTTGTTTAATTTGAATAGCTGTATAAGTGTTGGCATTTATACGCCTTCTGCACATACATTGAATTTTGAAATAATAAAATTTTGAAATATTTTTTCACATTATACCAATCTCAGTTTCTACTGAAAGAACTAATTGGTCACATTTTGATATCATATTGATCCATATGCAAATTAGTTAGGAAAATAAAAGTGTTTGCAGGGATATTTAGGAAATTGCTACTTTTCCTGTGGTCAGGAAAAAGTCAATGTACTTCCCAACACACTCCCAAGCTACATAAGTCTTTTTAAAATTGACTGATCTAGGGATTTACAATGACACTCGGCAAGTTTCTAATTGAAACCATATGTTTAATTTCACCAATAAAAGTGAATAGACAAATTTTAGCTAATCATTTAAGTAATTAGAATGTCTTTTCCGCATCCTGACGTCCGCCGGGACTAGCAATGTTGTTCTCAAAGAGTTTCTTTCTTTTTTTTTTTTTTAATTGGTTTACCTGGTGGAAATGTATATGCAATTTACATGAGTCATTTTGCCCGTTTCAGGCAACTAATACATGCAAGCACTTACCCTGTGTCACCCAAGCCATGCATGAAGATGACCTGCAATAGAAGAGACGTTAAGATTCAGGAGTCATTTTTCGTGTCCAACTCGTAAGGCTGTGCACTCATTTACAGCGAGTGAGGCGAGGACAAGAATTCAGAAGGTTGGTGGCAGACATTGCTGAATCAACCAGAATCTGAGTGAATGACCAGTGACATGTATAGGTGCACACCGGGTGGCTCGAAGATTTAGACCATGGTGAAATAAGCCAAAAAATTGGCACCAATATCAAGAGTTGAGGTGTTTGTCAAAGGTGCATCCTAGCGCATGGTTTAACATTTTATTCATACTGCATAGATCAGCCCCACACACGAAAAAAAAAATGCAAATATGTGTCGATGAAAGTGTACAGCTCCAGATGGGGCAACTTTTGCTGCAATTTTGGGGCAACTGATGAGTTGTAGGCCACTGGGAATGAATTGATGTGATAGATCAAAGGTGACAAGTCAATTGTGGTTACAATATGTGAACATTTGAGGACGTGATATTTGCACCTGACCTCCTGTGATGGTGAAACAATAACTGAAGACGAGGTATACTTCGTTCTGGTTTTCCATGGCTCGTTTTTGCAAGCTAGCTGTTTCAGACACATTCCCAAGACTTTTAGAGCGCAGCTCTTAGGCGCCTGTTTCCGGCTTCAGCGGCGTCGCAGTCAGCGTAACTGCGCGGTGCATTATGGGACATTTCCCATAATGACGTCACACGTCACGAGGGTAACTCGTGACGTCACCTCACATTGCATTATGGGTAAATTTCCCTGCTAAATTTAGCAGAAAACTTTTTCTGCAAATTTTAGCAGAAAAACTTCCCCACTAAATTTAGCTTGAAAATTTTCCTGTTAAATTTAGCAGAAAATTTACCGCTAAATGGAAGGCGAGCAGGAAAGGAGGGGCATATCCTCCTCTCCATACCTTCTCCTCTTCTTCCTCAAGAGCTGTACTCTAATTCAGTGTTACAGCGTCTCAAATAAAAAAAAATAAAAAAACTACAAACACATTATAATTACTGTATGGGTTTGTGTCTAAGTGGTATAAGATAATAATTTTACTGATGATGATAGTGAAACGTGGCATATCGGTGCAACGTAACACCGGAGTCCCAGCTGTTACAACTTATTAATTTAAAGCCACTGCTTTGTTTTTTTTCTTTTTTCTCTCGAGTTAACCGCAATGTCACTTGTACACTCTATTTTATCTGTAACTAGAGGCATTATTTAAAGATCAGTGGCTTAAACATTGAAGAAACCCACAGCCCCGGTTCTGGCACGTCCTGCACGAGCACTCTGCAACGTATTTTGTTTCTAAAACATTCCGCAGCCAAACTCCGATTATGATCAAAGTGTTACTCTACAGCGAATACTCTATCGTGATGTGAAGCTGACAGCGGTTCACCGCACACCGGTCGTTTGAGTGGAACCTTCCGAGAAACGATTAACAAACCCCTTTTCCTCCTCTTTGCGCGAGTAAAAGAATTATGATCGATTAAACATTAAGCGCGCTCTTCCGCGTGCGTGACATTTCCAAGATCAAGGGCGGTCGATATTTGACGGGACGAGCTACATCCCGCGCAAGCGACAGTTTCCTACACGTTACGTAGAACACGCTCGGAGTTCCGAAACCCTTTGATGGACACCCGATAATCCGCGGGGATTCAATGGATCTCCCTCCTGAGAAGGGATTAGCGATGGGATAAGCCTAAATCGACTCACGGTGGCAGTGTGTTTGGCGGTCGCCGAGATCACGACTGGAGAAGGCATGGTGGACACGGAATTTCCTCCCATACACAGGTACTCGAACCTTGTGAAGAGATTCAAGCCGGATTAGCAGCTCGGGCCTAAGGACAACATCCAGGAAGTTGTACGACACACGCTGCGTGGGCCGATTCAATACCTTCCGATACTTCCTACGCCGACGACTCGGATTAATTCATCCAGGTGCTGGGTAGATGGGTGGATCGAAACTAGAGCAACGAGAGTAACTAGGTAGATAAATCGTTGCGATGCGCTGAATTTGGGCGGCTACTAGCGCCGCCTATCAGATGTTTGTGCAGTGTATGAACAGGAAGCGCAACAGGAAACACCTCGGTGGATGAATAGGCTCCTTGCATTGACGTCACATCGCACACATTTGCACACCAAGTAAAAGGAGGAGAGGGAAGCTGCTTTTGTAAGAATTTTGAGTGACGGGTTAATCTTCTATAATCTTCTGGGAGGAGAATAGCGACGCCTGTGCAAATCCGGAAGGCACAAAGGAGGGTCCTGATAAGAGGGGAGCTCCTTCTCCCCCTCTTCTCTGGAGGGTATCGGAAATGACGTCATGTGCAAGGAGCCTATAAATAAATCCTGGCGGCTGTTCCTTTTGTATCAGGGAGTATGTTGCGCCACCTAGCCTCAGTCGACTGCTAGTCAGCACTGCAGGGGGGCTATGTTCGACTAGAGTATCGTTCCTCCTAAAAAGAAACGGAAGTGACGATATCGCGTATGATTGGTTAGAGGTTCAAATGACAAAAGTTCCCTCTTTCGTCATTTGAGCCTCTAACCAATCAGACGCGATATTGTCGAGAAACAAAACATTTGTCGAAAATAGGCCTCCTGGTGGCTAAAAAGGGCAACTTTGGCCAGGCCATCCACGGACCCATGCCACCAAGCAATGAGGGGCACAAGTTTGTCTGCTTCTTTTGAAGGAGTTGTGGTGACGTCAGAACTTTGAGCTCCGATTGGTTTTGATTAAAGGATAGTGGGTAGACCTCAAGGTAGCTTGCTTTGAGGTCCACCCACTATCCTTCACTCAGAGCTCGGCGTTCTGACGTCACCACAACTCCTCCAAAAGAAGCAGACGAACTTGCGCTCCACATTGGGCACGAGTGCTGTGCCGGCTGCGTCGCAGGGCACTCGGATGTTCGAAACCAAGATCAGGTTCAATGCGGAGTGCAGGTCTTCTGCTTGTTGCACAGGGGTCGGAGTGACGTCAGAACACTGCCGAGCTCTGACTGGCTTTGATTGAAAGTATAGTGGGTAGAATGCTCCATGCCTTGAGGTCTACCCACTATTTTTTTCGAGAAGCCTATAAGAGCTCGGCATGCTGACATCATCGCAACGGCGCAACCCTTGTGCAAGAAGCAGATGAACTTGCGCTCCGCATTCACATTTGTCTAAAGTCAGAGTATGGCGGTATCGCTTTCCTTTTTCTTTCGCCACCATATCTCCATTGGTGGCAAAGGGGTGACCTCCGCCAAATGACTACAGTGCTACAGTGGCCTTGCAGGGCACCAGGCGGCAAAAGTCATTTTGACGATGGTTGTCGAAATGGACAGTACCAACAATAAGTGTAATGAAATCAATACAGATCTCAAAATGATTTATTCATTTCCCCAATTAAAAAGAAAAAGGTAATTACTTGTTTTATAAAGCAAACTGCAGGAAACTAAAAAAGAAAGTGTGGAGTAAACATTTTTTATATAATAAAGGCAATATAAGAAACTACCAAAAAGAAATGTCTACTCCACTTTTTTTTAGCTCCATGCAGTTTGGCCAGAACAGAACAAGACATGAGGGAAAGAAACTTTTCCACCAAGAGTTTACTTTATTTCTTTTTAAATAGAATTGAAGTACAAAAATTTGGCAAGTATGTCTTCTTCTGATCCTAAGTACCGGAAACAAAAATACAGCTTAACATATCTTTATCAAAAAGGAGGCACTCGCAGCAAAAGGTTTTATATTAGTGCATGCTTTCTGCTCAGCATACACAATATTAACTTTCCGTAGATGACCTAAAGACCCTTCATAGGTGGCACCCAAAAACACATAAAGTTCAGTGCGCTGCAAGGCAATCTCTATCACCGGGTTAAGGACATTGATCATATTGGTTAAAATAATATTAATCGATCGCATTGAGATTTGTACAATTAAGACAACCCTTTTAGTTGCTTGCTTGGAAGTTTTCTAAACGCAGATGCCATGGGTTGTAGGTAGGGCGTGTATTTTCCGGTGTTTATTAATGAAAAAATCATAATGTTTTTCGGTGGTTATTTATTTTTGAAACACCGGTATACTTCGGTTTTAACTGATTTTGTATTTTCATTGCCGGCGGGTGTTTATCAGTGTTTTTCGGTTAAAACTAAAAAGTGCACAGCCAAGTTGTAGGTGAAAGCAAATTAGTATTGTGTTTTGCCCAGCATGTTACAGTGCTTGGAACTACTCTGACTGTTGTGAAGTGTCCTAAACCACCTTCAGAACCAAAGAAAAAACTTATGTTAGGAACCAGCGGCACATTTAGTCTGCGTGTCGCTCAACTGGCAGTTGGTCGTAGAAGTGCTGGTGAAAAAGGCGACTAGGCACAAGGGTCGCGCCACCATGGCGTCCCAATCCGTGACTGCTGAATTTCCATCGACTGGCCGGATGCCAACATCCGTCATTGCTGCTGAGCCATCCCCAAGATTGCAATTAGTGACTAAATGTGGCAGTAGTGATGTCACAAGGCAGAAATGGACACGCTTTCCAGGTGCCACGGTTTGGGCGGCAGTTGACAAGCATTAGCTTTGCAAAAAAAGATGACATTGAGACTTTTGGTGTAGACTGCTCGTGCCAATGGGTGCACGAAGAACACCAAAATACAACGAAGGAGAGCCAAATGCTAGACATATGACCCGAGGTCCCTCCATGCAACAGAATCCTCCGTTCAGATCTACACCCCACAGGGGTGGAATGACTAGGAGGATTCTGTAACACAACATGCCCTAAAAAGGCATGGCATCACACCTCGAGGCTTCAACTGCTTGTGTCCAAAGACAAGTGAAGAAATCTAACGATAGATCACAGATCGGCTGAAGACCCGAAGACTAGACCACGACCAGGAAACATTAGTGTTTGATGTTGCGTGCCAAGGCCTCCTTGTTGTGCTCTCCACCCCAGAGTGGCGCGAACAGCTGGGCTTCTTTCCGCAGGGCATCAGCAAAAGGCAAGTCCCTAGCCGCTACCACGGTTGCCTTGGCATCCCTGATAAGGCGGATGGGGGGTTTCAAGCGCTCTTGGAGCCAGGTCACGGCTTCTGCCAGGGGGTCCTTGCCTTCAAGCAGGGCACTGGCAAAGCCAGTTTGTACCGCTTCCTCTCCACCCAAGGCACGTCCAGTGGTGATCAGGTCTAAGGCTAGCTGGGGCCCTGCAGAGAAAGAAGCAGGCAGGTGGAGCTGGCATATGCAGACCAGTTACGGGCCTCATGCCGAGAAGCTATTCTTCGAGTCATTTCGATGTCCCTCAGAGAGAACAGTAGCTGGGTTCGTGAGGACAAGCTACCTCAAGGCCACAACAAGAAACACTGGATATTGGCATAGCACTGACACTTGCCGGCTATTCACTACACAGTGTCTACAAATAACCTCTTGGCCTCACTCTGCATATAATAATTGTGAATATCATACTGTTAATATTCTTCTACTTTACAAGCAGATGGTAATTTAGTAAAGATGAAGTTACTGAAGTCAATGATGAAATCAAACAAAATGTGTTTGTATTTGGAGAAATGGCCTGCACACAGCAAAATATATTAGAGTGCTCGAATGCGGCACTTCACAAGCGTTCACAGCACGCTGAATCGTACAAAGACTAGGTAGGCCCAATGGTGGTAAGTTTGGCTGGCATCCATGCCACTGTCAAACACATCTTAAAAAAATAATTTATGCTTGAATGCAAAGAACCAATCAAAACTTTCCACAGTGCAGGCTCCAGCAGACACTAGGGAGGGACGTCATTTGCTGCCGCACCGAATCTGTAAGCAATGGATAGCTTGCAAAAAGCAGCAACATTAAAATTTGCTTGAAACATTCCAGTTCATAGCTGTAAGAATTGACCAACCAGGCAAGCAAACTGTTTGAGAGCAAGCACAGCAAAATATGCAAAGAGAACTCACCCACCAGGCGAGTGAGCCAAGTAACACCGCCCCAGGCGGGCAAGATTCCCATCCGCAGATGCACAAACTGGACCTGCGCGTCTGGCGTAAGGAGTCGGAAGTCGGGCACTGCCGTCAGCTCCGCCGCTCCACCAAGAGCGCGTCCTTCGACCAGAGCTACCGTCAACATCCGCAGCTTGGAAAACCTGCAGGGAACACCGCGTAAACTGCGGGACATTTCGTGTACTGGTTTGCACCAAGAACCACTGGGTATTCATAAGGTATATGAAAACCTGCAAGCCCCTGCCTACGTGATCCATTCAGCACAAGCATATGGACCAGGGGTCTCAAACACGCGGCCCGCGACTTGATGGGACGAGGTCCGCAGGCAACCAGCTACGAGTTCCAGTTCCCATGTCTCAAGCTCCAGAAATGGCATGCACTAGGGTGCCTTCATGTGCGCTCTGCTTAGGGTGGTGGCATCTCGCCATTTTGTCACACATGTTTATTTTTATTTTTTGTTCAGAAGCGCGTGAAAGAGCGTGTCCCTGCACGCGCTTGTGGCGCTGACTGTGCTATGGCGACATTTTGTTTTCGTCGATTTCTTTGCATTTTTCCCGTGAGCGCGTGCTGTCGGCATGTGGTACTACAAAGGGTGGCATCACCCTAAACAGAAGGACATTGAGGCACCCTAGCATGTACCATAGTGGTCTCGTCTAATCATTATCGCTCGAAAAGTAGCTCTACTCTTTTAAAGATTTCACATTGTTTATGCCTATCTGCGTTCAGCTGCCTTTTGTTTTGTTTTATTTTTTCTACTCAGCTTTTTGTAATGTACAACGATTCCGCTACTATGCTGCAAGCGCCGGCTATTCGTTGATGGATGCATCTTGGCTGTGCAAACTCTCGATCAGCAGGAGCAACTGTCAAAGACGAAGCTACAAGCTCGAGATTCTCACCTTAAGAAAATATCCCTATAAAAAGACAGGTATTTGTTTAGAGGGCTGTAATAAAAAATTGTCAGCTAAGCAAGAACTGCCAAATTAACCGATTGCTTTTTAAAGACACATTGAGTTTGATCAATTTCTGAATGAATTGAGCAATGGGAACGACAGTGTACTCGCTCTCGTGTTCTAGGAAAAATGCCAGCACGTCGGAGGCAGGGTGTCATCTTAATTCTTGTTATCACATTGCGTCAGGCCCCAAAGTAGTCATATAAACAAATCAAATCTAAAGATGCTGCTGGCAAAACTGTGGGTTTACAAAAAGCATAATGCACAAGGTCACTTGTTTTTTCAAATCTTTTGAACCCCCTCGTCTTACGCTGGCTGTCGACCTTTCCGGTGTGAGCTATCTGATCCCCACACTCAAATGAGTTTGAGACCACTGATGTACACCACGCATCAAGACTGACATGAGCATGACTATGGTGCCTGGAACGCATCTCCAACTGGTGTGTTTACCCTATCCTAAAAAGTGGTCCCTCGATTTCAGCCCGATGAGGTCACACGAGCGTCCTGTTGTCCCCAGCCGCGGCCCTGGTGGTGCCACAGCAGCGGTGGTGGACGTGACAGGTGCCCGTTCTGCTATAGGTCACTTCCAGCTTGACAGGCCATAGAACCAGGCATTAGTACCCCAAGACGACGGCAACACACACGTTTACTCTCAATTTTTCACTTCGACTTCTAGCACAGACCACCAGGATCACGACAACCGACGACATGTCATGCCGGCTTCTGCGACGTCATTTGCTGCCGCTTCGGGACCACTTTTGATGTGTGGGCGAGACAGGACACTAAACACACCAGTTGATAACGAGCTCCAGGCACCGTAAACATGATTTTAGAATTTCCCGAGGCTTCGAGTGGAGTGGCAGTCACCTGACGAGCGTGTCTTGCATGAGGTGTGCCATCTGCAGGCCTTCTTCGCTGGTGCCAATGGCCCTCATCGTCACCAGGTTCCCACCGGAGCTGAAGAAGCCTCCATCTCCTCGCAAGATGACAGCCTTGCCGGTCTGCCACTGCTCCAGACGTCCCACAATGTCTTGTAGCTCCAGCATCATCTCGCCTGGGGACAGTGCCACGACAACCGCCCGGAGTTCAATGGCTGCTAATCTGGTGGCAGCCGTACGGCAATTTAACATACAATCATGGTTTGATGCTTCCCTGTTGTGGGCACAATGCTACTAGGGTGTTGAACAAACTCCAGGCCTGTTATCAGGCTGCTGAAAGGTGTACCAGAACTACACCAGTGTTGTATTTTTCAGAAAGGTATGTAGGGCCCAGAAGGCAAGTTGAATAAGCCTATAGGGAGCTTAAGTTTTACTATACCGACATCTCCTCAACAGGTTGCGATGTAATCCTTCATATTAGTAAATTTGTTTGAAAAAACAAACTAACAACAAAATGGCGGACTGACGTCATGTGAAAACGCCCTATAGTGTAGAATGCAAGTTGCACGCATGACATTCCACCTAAAGATCCCCAGAGAGCAGTTTGAGATGTGGTTGAGGCTTTCACGACTTGATGACAACTGATTGCTACAGGTGCCATCTACCGACATTTCGGGCATTTGTAATTATCATAGGATAGTTAATATTTGAGTACAAGTCCCCAAACATGCACTCAGATGGAGTGACCCGAGAGTTTGAACATCAATCATCAGCATACCGTCACAACTAAAATCCTGTTTGTTTTGCCGAACCAAGTGATCTTGAGCTGGGCAGATAGCTACAAATGTACTCGATTTTCAAGGATGAAATGTTTAAGAAGTGTGACGGTCCAAGGGCAACTAAGTGCTCAATTATGTCAAGCCATCAAAACGGGGAGGCACTCACTTGATCGAATGACGTTTTAGCGAACGCCCACGTTTCATCGAACGACACTTTAGCGAATAGTCGGACGCCGCGAAGCGGCGTTTTCGGGTGGGCCAAGTGAGTTCATATTTTTGTAATGAGTTGCCGTAGACTGTCGCCGCGAAGCGGCGTAAAGCGCAGCGCGACGGATGGGTTAACGCGCGCCCCCGTTATTCGCTAAAACGACCATTCGCTCAAATGTCGCCGTTCGCTAAAATGTCATTCGCTCTTGTGATATGGACCCATCAAAACGATCAGCCAGAGGGACCCATGTATGTAAAATCTACGCCGCGATACCACGTGTCATCGTATCGGGCCAATCAGCTTTGACCTTAGCCAAACGTCACTAGATTATGCGGTGAAGCCCTGATACCGCTGACCCGCTGAACTTTGCACTCACTCACCTGATATGCAGTTTCTCTTTTCGGGGTGACTCAAAATTATCTGCGCGATGCCAGTGGAGACGTCCTCGATGAATTGCACATTCCCGCCGGACTTCAGCGACCTGAGTTTGTGGCGAAACTCGTCGGAAATTAATGGCATCGTACCTAGAAGCCTAGCAAACTGCTGGGCAAGCTATGCAGGGTCCAAGAGCAGACGAACTCTGGAAGACTGTCGTCAGAATAATCGGTATGCCCGTGTGGCCGTTCTGGCAGTGCCTAAAATATCCTCAATCTCTGTAGTAGTCGGCACACAGCTGTTCCTTTCATGGTACGACTACCGTTTTATTTTTTTATTTTATTTTTTTGGCTAATTTAACAGACATCAGAATTTGAGCAGGCCGTTCTTCGAGCACAGTGCTCCGATCAAATGAGTGGATGCTGATATAAACATCGTTATCTTTTTATTGGACGGTAACTCGCGCCATCTACTTGTATTTTAAGCGTAAGTGCCGGGTTCGGCTGCTTCTTGCACGGGGTTTGCGGTGGTGTCGGGCTCTGATTGGAGGGATGGTGGTAGGGGTACCTCTGGGCTAGCGGCCTTGAGGTGCTAGCTTTTGGGGTCTACCTAGCGACTCTGGGTCTACCTTGTGCACCTCCGGTCGGAGCCGGACGGGGCCTGGCGCTCTGTCGCCGCTGCGGCCCCTGCGCGGGTGGTAGAGGAACTTGCGCTCTGCATAATCTTGCTCCTGAACAATTGGAATTGTCATTGTTTTGTTGTTATTTCCCGTCCCGGGTGACAGGCTCACAGTCGCACCAGCGCACGGGCGTTCGCCTTTCTGTGCTAGCCTCGCAGCCCACCCGGAATAACGTTTCCCCTGCAGATAAAAATTATTATTATTATTATATGTGTGACTTTACCTCAAGTCACATATTACATATGTGACTTTACTTTAAGAAAAAAGCTCAGAAGAGCGCTTCGACATATTGATGTGACCGACCAAAGCTTTGGACCGACGAACCTTTGGGAATATTTCATAATTAGTTTTTCTTCCCAACATTTTTTTTTAACAAGAGCGTTTTTTTACTGTTTTATGAGTTATTTTTTATTGTTATTATATGACAACAAAGAAACTCATTAAGATCTTCAGAGTCGCAAAAAACTGTGCAAGAATTTCTACTACTTTCAATGGCGAACAATGGCGAAAAGTGACTCCAGAGCATTGTGTGTATGTGTGTGATTTTTTTAAAAATAAATTTTCTGACTTAAAGATTTTTTTTTGGAAGAGGGGGGGGGGCACGTGAGTATGCAATTGGAACTGCTGTGAAAACTTAGTGATAATTCTGCTTTTAGAGCGCAGCTCTTAGGGTACTAGATAACAGAAAGTATAAAACAGAGAGAGGACGAAACACAGACGAGTACTCGTCTGTGTTTCGTCCTCTCTCTGTTTTATACTTTCTGTTATCTAGTACATCGTACCAACACGCTCGTTAGGAATATAATAGCTCTTAGGGGCCCGTTCCCGGCTTGAGCGGCGTCGGCGTCGCCGTCAGCGTCGGCGTAACCAAGGTCACCCCAAGGTCACGCGACCCCCCAAGGTCATCCCAAGGTCACGTGACCCCTCCCCCCGAGGTCACGTGACCCCCCCCCCCCCGAAGTCACGTGACACCCCCCCGCCGAGGTCACGTGACCTCCCCGATGACGTCATAGTCACCGATGACGGCACCGGCATCCGTATCGTCATCATCATCATCACTGATGACGTCACCAGTGACGTCACTGATGACGTCACCGGCATCCGCATCGTCATCATCACTGATGACGTCATCAGTGACGTCACTGATGACGTCCCCGTCATCCGCATCGTCATCGCCATCATCACTGATGACGTCATCAGTGACGTCACCGGCATCCGCATCGTCATCATCACGAATGATGTCATCAGTGACGTCACTAATGACGTCACTGACATCGTCATCGTCATCATCGCTGATGACGTCTTCAGTGACGTCACTGATGACATCATCGGAATCCGCATCGTCATCGTCACTGATGACGTCACTGATGGCATCATCGGCATCGTCACGTGACCCCCCAAGGTCACGTGACCCCCCCCCAGGTCACTTGACCCCCCCAGTACCCTTCCCTCCTCCTCCTCAAGAGCTGCGCTCTAATTCGGTGTTACAGGAAGTTGTAAACGGCTTTCACTTTTTTTTATCTAGAACTGATTCTTTTATTTGTATTCAATTACATAGCTGGTTTTGCCGCACAAGCCCATGATGGCTTTGGCGAACCTGCACTGTGCTTTGATTACGCTCTTCCTTCACAAATAAATTTATTATTATTATTATTATTATTATTACTATTACTATTATTATTATTACGTTGCAGGAATCACTTTACTCCAAGACGACACTTGTCACCTACATGACTGGTTTAGAGCTAATTGTCTCACGATCAATGTACATAAAACTAAGCTTGTTTGCTTTCATAATCCACTTAAACTCATAAATACCGATCATCCACTTTACATGCATACTTCTGGGTGTACACCCTGCAACTGTTTTCCTGTGTCTTATGTGGATCAGGTTAACTTATCTGGGAACACAATTTGAAAGTGACTTGTCGTAGAAGGCCCATTTCTCACAACTTTGTAGAGAACTGCGAAAAGTATCCTGTTTCCTGTATAATACCAAGTCTCTAATACCCATTCCAACCAAACACGATCTACTAAAACTCACGCTTCAGCATAGAGTGTATTACGCTACGGGATAACTATTTTTGGTCACAGCCCAGAACTATGGGGCAAAAAAAAAAAGAAAAAAAGACTAAATTTCGAAAGTAACTTTTAAAAGCATTGTGTACGGTGCAGTGTCACAAACTGAAGAAAAAATGCTAATAGGCTTGGGTTTGCCATTTTTTTAATTCTTTACTCTTACACACGGGTGTTCTAAAATACTCCTGGAGCGATACTTTTAAGATACCTCGTGTCCTATGCAGACCTCTTCGGTGTGTGGAGCGGTTTGAAGTGCCTTTCGTAGAAACGAAGTACGGAAAAAGAGTGCTAAATTTTTACGTTCCATTTGTTTTCAACAATTTTCCAGAAAATATCTATGCTGTGGACTCTGAAAAAAAAAAATAAATAAAGAATCATTTGAAGGTATTAGGGAGAAGTTGTGACCGTATATTTCTGTGTGCATATGTTGGAATCACCATCATCACCTACATTGTTCTGTGTCTGTAGTTGAGTTTGAGTTTTGAACTTCTTGTTTGTAGGGACTCTTTCAAGCATGAACTCTAGGGTGCTGTCCCACAAGCCTCTTCTGGTTTTGACAGACCCCTGTATCTGCCCTGTTAAATGCGTGTACAAATAAAGTTATTATTATTATTATTAAGTGAATCCCTAATCACTTTTGAAAAAAAAAGAACTAACTAATCCAAGACTCATTTTGAATCCGTAAAACACCTCTTGTTCGTACAGATACATTGAATGCAAGGGAAATACATTAATTTGGTCTGGATGCATGATGGTGGTCTAAATGTTATTATAAAATTTGAGTAAAAAAAAGTTCGAAACGGCGAACAAACGAGTCGAGGGATGGTACACACAGCGTTAAACTACCCGCAAAAATCTTCTATAAAAAAGAAAAAAAAAATCTTACAGAATAACACGCTGGAGACATGATAACATAAACACAGTCGAATGTAAAAAAAAAAAAGCAACAGGAAGACCCGCATGTTTTAAAGTTTTGTTTCACCTGCACCTAAAAAGTTGAGAAGGGTGCGATGGAGAAGCAGAAGTCAAGTTAGGAAAGTGGCACCAACGCAACGATGTTAGGTATGAACGTCTTTTTGCATATAGATTGTTATATAGAACCTTAAAATAAAGCAAAATTGCAAAATGCGAAATCTCGATGGTCACCTATTTGCCTCAAAATTGGTTCAAAACATTAATATACAGAGCTTAAGTAGTAGCCCAAATGACAATGAAAGTCACAGTAATTTGTTTTCGCGAAGTTTGTGAATTTTCAACGCCGAAACTCTGAAAACGAGACGTCACACGTTGTAATATGGATGTAGCTCAGCTTAATTGTTCCTGACAAGAAGTTTGATGGTATTAAATGAACGCTAGAAAACCTCAGGCCAGAAATGGATGAATGAATAAATTTATTGAATCAGGATGGCTCTGTGGCCGGTATGGGGAGAGGGGAAGGACGGTGGGGGAAGTTTGCAGTTCATGTTCTGCTGACAAGGTGGACCTCCTTGTCAAAGTTCCACAATACAAGCAGAGTTGCTTTGGCGTGGTCATTGGGATATATCCCTTCGTGGAGTGTCTGGACTCCTGGTGGCTTGTGCTTGTCGTGAATGCCTGCTAGTGCCGGGCAGGACCATAGTAGATGAATGACCGTTGGCGGTTCCTGTCGACACTGCTTACAAAGTAGTAGAGCCGAGGGGATCTGCGTGGTTTCGTGTTGCTTGTAGTATTCCCATCTTGTGATGATATCTTCAGTAAGGGCAAATCCGGAGCGGGCTTTGGTAAGGAGACTTGTGCCCCTCTGGGAATGTTCCGGGGTATGGGGCGTTGTAGTGGGGGAGTGGTGTTTCGCAGTTCCTCCTTTTTTTTCGTATCTTATTCCCATTCGTTGCTCTTCTGGTGGCAGCTTGTATTGGAGGGTGGGCACTACCGACTCCGAGGAGTGATTGAGAAAAGTCTCGGATGAAGAAAGAATAAACAATTAAAACAGGGACAACACAACCACATCTTTCATACATAGCTCAGAAAAATAGGTATGCTTGGTAGAAGAGCGTGTTGGTTTAAGTCATGGATGAAGAAAGAATAAACAATTAAAACAGGGACAACACAACCACATCTTTCATACATAGCTCAGAAAAATAGGTATGCTTGGTAGAAGAGCGTGTTGGTTTAAGTCATGGATGAAGAAAGAATAAACAATTAAAACAGGGACAACACAACCACATCTTTCATACATAGCTCAGAAAAATAGGTATGCTTGGTAGAAGAGCGTGTTGGTTTAAGTCATGGATGAAGAAAGAATAAACAATTAAAACAGGAACAACACAACCACATCTTTCATACATAGCTCAGAAAAATAGGTATGCTTGGTAGAAGAGCGTGTTGGTTTAAGTCATGGATGAAGAAAGAATAAACAATTAAAACCTATTTTTCTGAGCTATGTATGAAAGATGTGGTTGTGTTGTCCCTGTTTTAATTGTTTATTCTTTCTTCATCCATGACTTAAACCAACACGCTCTTCTACCAAGCATACCTATTTTTCTGAGCTATGTATGAAAGATGTGGTTGTGTTGTCCCTGTTTTAATTGTTTATTCTTTCTTCATCCATGACTTAAACCAACACGCTCTTCTACCAAGCATACCTATTTTTCTGAGCTATGTATGAAAGATGTGGTTGTGT